GAACATGTAAATGAAAATTTTAGTTAACAATTTCCATAATAGAAGTTGAAATAGAATGAAACTTGGAATTTAATATTTTATATAATCACTTAGATAAAAATTCATGTTTTATTAAATTGTACTCTTCTATAAAAGGTTTTCATTCTACTAATTCTTCTATTTACAACTCTATACTCTCGATTACTAAAATTTTTCAAAATATTCAAGATATTTTCATCAATACGATAATGTTCTAAATTCGCATTTTTATCAAAATTATCCAAACTTTCTTTCTTGATTTTGAGGAAATCTGAATACAAATCACTTATAACTTGTGGAATTTTTTCTAATTTTAAAAGACGTCCTGAGTTTACTAATTACTTAACTTTCGATAGTTTAAATAAATCTACAACATTTTGTTATTTTCTTTTTGAAAATGAATCAATAGAGATATCATCTTTTTTAAGAGGTAAACCAAGATCTGATATATATTAAGAATTAATTTATTCTTATTACAACAGTCCATTTTCTAATTAGAAATCAAGAGCTGATTCAATCTTCTCAACCATATTTGAGAAACTATTTTTTGATTTCTTTTTCTTTCTTTAATGTAAATGATGTCTAATTTAATTAATATTAGATCCTTTGTCAATAGCAATTTTACCTCTACTTGGACTATAAAATACAACAGGACAATCCATAAAATTGTGACTTCTTAAACAGACTTGACATTAGATAGGACATAAATCAAATTATAAATCATCTCGTAATGAACAATATTGTTCATAATTACTAGGTTGTTTTTTAACAACTTCAATAAAATCTTCATGAGTTATATATGCAATTTCTGAAAATTTAGTTGCTTTAGTAGTATAATGTACAGCATTCCTCAACAAGAATTCTCTAATACCTAATGAACCTTATTTTTATTTTCTAATTGAAACCTTATTAATAAGAGATTCTATTTCTCCTCTAATAAGAAACATAGCCTTAGGTATATATTCTCCTTATTAAAATATAATTTATCCAGGAAGAAATTTCTATGTTTTAACAACTCTACTTAATTGAGCTAAAAGAGAATCATTAAATCTATTAAGTAATTAACACTGTTTCATTTTTGAAATAAAGATACTTGCCTTTAATTCTTACTTCAAATCTTCATTAAGATGATCTATTAAAACATCTTAAGTTTCATCTAAAGTAAAAAAATATTCAAAATATTTTCTTATCTTCATTTGAAGAATAGGATTTATTTTATTCTTTTTTAAATATGAATTCAATGTTGCCATATTATTTCGATGTTGATCAGTCTTTTCTCTCAATTATCCAAATATTTATTATATTGCAGATATTGTGTATCCAAATATCAGAGATGTTATTAGAACTGTAAAAATAACAAACATTTATTCAAATTAATTCTAAGGAACAATATCTCCATATCCTATTGTAAATGCAGTTATAGTTCCAAAATACAATGATGCAACATATCTAATTATCCAATCTTTTTCAGCATAACCATACCTTGTTAACCAACAATCCTGAGAATTACTCTATAATTCTATTTAACCTACAAAATGCCATGCACATCCAAGCATATGAGATACCAGAATTAAAAAATATAAAAGTTTACATATATCTATAGGTGCTGCGAATTTCTCTCTGATTAATGATATTTCTTCAATTTATTCAAAAATTTTCTTAACTCTTGTTATTCTCAGTAATAACACGAAATTAATGTAAGGAATCTCATATTAAGAAATTAAAAAAGGTATAACCACAATTAAATCATAAACAAAATCTCTTTAAACATAATGTTTAAAAATTTTCTATCTACTTTCATGAATCATACCTTTTGAATAGTATGCTGTGTTAAAATTAAGAATTATTTCTAATAGGAAAATCCTTAATATTAATTTATAAATACCCAACTAGGTAGTGTACTAAATAGAAAATCAATTAAGGTGTTATCTTCTTTTAATTAAAATGATAATTGCATTGGTATGTAGAAGATATTTATTATGATAAGTACAAGGATTATCAAATCCATAATCAATTTAAATTTGCTATCTGGTTAGATTACTCTAAATTCAAATGATTGCATTTTATTTGCTATAACAGAAGTTATAAAATCAAGAAATGTAAATTTTGCTTTCACTAATCCTTTTTTTTGATAATATAAAAAATTCGATGCTTTATCACCTATTATATTATGGATGCGATGAGTTATTAATTTAAATCTGTATTGTTCAGCAGCCTATTTCAATTTGATTATAAATTTGGTAATGCGAACAAATATTTATAATGCGTTCTCCTTCCAAGGTTATTAAAAACCCATAATTAAAGAAGGTTCAGGTGATTCTCTTGTATTCGTTGGATGAGGAGCTTTTATTAAAGAAAAATGTCCTGTACGTCTATCAGTCGAGGCACCCGTTAATAAAATATGATCAATATTCATTTATTATTAAATATGGTTTTCAAATGTTAATTATTCAATTAATTAGGATTAGTGTTTTAAGTTTTATTGATTGTATGAGTCATATTGGTACTTTACTAATATTTTTATATTTATGATAATAATAGAATTCAATGTGTTAATCAAGTTGATTTAAATCCATTTTTATAAATTAGATAAGCTTTTGATGAACTTTTTTATTTAGGATTCCTTAAAAATAGATTGAGATTTCTATTTTTTTAAAAAAAAAAGTCTTCTGTGATAATTCTTCTGGTTTCTCTATTCTTATTATTCAAAAATATTTATAATAATTTTTGCATGACTTTAAATGATTTTTAATTTGACATTAAATGTGGTTTGCAATTAGGTTTATAAATCTAATGATGAATATCTATTGCTGAAATTATATTGTTCTAAAAAATGTTGAATGTTTTATTTTTTTTAATGTTTTTTTTATTAATTTTATATCGAGTTTAGCAAAAAGAATCACTAAAGTCGCATTCTTTCTTTGAAATTGATGAACTATAAAAATACTACTTTATAAAAATGTGAACAACCAAATTTTACAGTAAAGTAAGGCCTCTTAAATTTAACAGTATTATTTTTAATTTGTTTAATATTTCGTATATTATACTCTAGAAATCTAGAGAAGTATTCATAAAATAATGTGTAATATATTATATAAACCAATTGTACTTAATTAATTTTATATCTACTTCTCCTAAATGATTGACTACACCACCTTGCTTATTTAATCATCTCTATAAAATATTAAATAACCAGATAAGAATTTTAAAATTTGCATAACCCTAAAAAGGTAATTCAAGGCTTTCTCTTAAAATTTTTGCCATTAAATCATTAGAGGAAAATATAGGTTCTTTCTATGTTCTAATTTTAAAAAATCAATTAGATTATTTATTAGAAATTCTAGACTTTTAGTATTCACCAAAAAATTATAACTTCAAAAATCATTTAAGTATTAATTGATCTCTTATATAATTATGCTTTTGATAAAATTATTACAGGTAATTTAAAATTGATCAAAACTAGTTTATGTATTTTTTATCTCCCCTATTTACAAATACAAAAAATCTAAAATGCATATTATATAATATTTCTTCAGAAGAAATGTTTACATAATTTTTAATTAATCTTAAAACACATTTAATAATCTTATTATCTCATTCTTCTTTTAAAAAAAAATAAAACTATTAAAATTTAATATTTTAATTATAAAAATAACTGAATAAACCGCTTCTTTATATTATTAAATAAATTTTAGATTTATATATATTAAACAATAGAAGCAGAGAACATTTAGATAATTAAGTATTTACAGTTTATTCTCTAAAGAATTTTAAAAATCAGCCCTAAATTATTTAAAATAAAGTAGAGATTATATAAAGGATAATTTACTGAATATAAATAAAAATAGTATGAATATAAAAAGAAATATACTTGATTTGATATCAATTCGAATGTTAATTTGAGAGAAAGAATAACTGCTAATCATTTTTTGGTTTATGATAAAAATATCTTAGATCCATCAATTAAATTAACATATATTCTGTAGAATTCTCTATTTGTTTTTCATAACATAAAATAGTTTAGGTTTTTTTTAGATCAAATTTGCGATTCTGCTTTATACAATCTAATATAGAATTGAATCATAAATTTGTAAATATAGCATAAATCATAATGAGATCTAAATTTGTTGTATTCTTTGTTAACTTACAAATAAATATAGATTTGTTTAGGATTTAGAGAATAAGGTGAAATATAGCTACAATATAATGCTTAAATTTAGCTTTTAATAATTTCAAAAAATGATATAAATTATTTATTCAGGTATCATTTTAAAAATACCATAATAAGTTATCCTATTGGATTTAAATTTTTGTAAAAATTGATGAGATTTATCTAGAATTAGATGATTGGATTAAATAAAAATTATATGAGTTTTCTTTAAATTTAGAAAGGAAATAATAAAAAGAAATTCTGATAAGCTTATTTAATTATAAATCTCATCTTTTAACATATTTTAATGATCTTGTAATGGTCTATTATAATTAGAAGAGCTCGTTAACATATCCTTTAGATAATTATTGTATCTATTCTGGTGTAGCTTAATCTAATTATTTTGATAATTCGAGTAAATCTCTAAGAGGGACAGATTGATCTATTTTTCTAGATAACGTAGGTTATGGTTTTTAAGTTGTTGAAGCTTTACTTTGAGTATTTGATGACTGATTAGCAACAGGAGTGCTATTGAATTACCAACTTCCTAAGTTGCTTAAAGATTAGTTTTTTCTTCTGAAAACTGAAAGTAAGTCATCATTTTATGTGTTCTATCGTCGGCTATTAAAATAGAATGATAATTTAACCTTTCTGTCAATCCAAAAATTTTACTGGGAGATGCCAAATTAGGATTATGTTCAACTTTACTTTAATTAATGATGACATGATGAAACTTGTTATCTGTTTTATTATCAACTTATTCAGCCCATTCAGTAGGAAATCTAGTTAGAAATTAAATGTACCTTCTAAGTTCTTTCTTTTCATATGTTGTTGTCATGGATGATTAAGGTCTGGCTGTATTGGGTATGGAGACAGATTCAGTCAAATAAGAAGTTCTTTTATAAACTTAGGATTTTTATGAGCTTGATAACATTAAAATAAATTTTTATTTATTCGCTTTAATATCATATTGATTGATGACAAATCCTTATAAATATTTTCAGCATTAGATTATTAAAATTATTGTTGATATTAAGTTTATAATTAGTTTCTAGAATATTTGATCAATATTTGATTGTAAAAGAATGAATGTATTAATTAATTATAATTAATAACTAATAATAACTATAGATTAAATAGTAATTCATTTTTCAGAAAAATCTATAGGTTCTTCCATAATTACATTATGCATTTTAACTGCTGCTGGATCATTACTTTTTTGAACACATTAATCAATTTTTGTTAATAATTCATGTAGAATATCTCTTTAATATTATAGATCATCTAGAGCATAAATTAATTTCCAATTATAATCCATTTTATTTTTTATATCGATTTCTAATTCTTTTATAGCTTCTTCTACCTATTGATTTTTGGTTGATTCCACTTTTAAAAAAGTTCTACCATCAATATCTGTTTGTTTAAATTTTAAAAATTCAGTATTTGGTATTAAATGTGCACTCATTTAAGTATAACGTCCATGATGCTATTTTTCAAAAGCTTCTAATCTTCTTGCATATCCTCTATAATTTTTAACAAAAGGATTAACTTTAGATGCATAATTATACATCCATTATAGAAATGTCATGTTGTCTTAAAATTTACATTTACTTAGTTTATCAATTGGAACAACTTTATCAATTTTAAGTTTTGAAAATGCATCATCAAGAACCTTAATTAAATATTGCTTTATACTTTTAGATTCTTTGTATATTCATCTGGAAATCTTGCCATGAAATTTAATTTAGAAAGATAAATAGCTCCAGGATGTAATGCATCTATTATTTAACAATAACCAATTCCATCTGATAATAACTAATTATAAAATATAATAATTACTTCAACTTTAGGATAATCACATTCGGTTAGCTCATTTATCCATTGTAAGAAATCTTATCTACCTTAGTTATGAGATTTCATGAAATAAAATATTGTTAATAATTTTATAATTATTCTCATTTAATTCACTAATCCTCATTAATTTTGATTATGGTTTCTTTTTTTGAAAAACTTTAGTTATATATTAAAGCTGATGATAAAATAATTAAAGTTGGAATCAAAAACTTTGGCATTTTAAAAATTCTGATTTATTGACCTTTGGGATCCTTATATGTATCTTTCTTTTGAAAGAAATGGTAAATTGTATATTTAGGAATTGATATTAAATTTCTTGTTGTTTTTTGAAATTTAGACTCCATCTTTGGTCACTATTAAATATTAAAATTAATAATATATAAAAGTTTATTTATAGAGTCATTTATTTTTCATTTACAAGAATATACCAATAAAATAAATTCAAATTAGTTATTATAAAAGTTTAAATCTTGTTACTAACTTATAAAGTGTATGTGCGTCATCCTTCTAGACTGCTGATTTGCAATTTATCAGTAAAATTTTGACTTGAATTAATCAAATTTAAAAAATAAAAAAAGATTCCCTTAATATGCATTTCTAAACTTTCTTAGATGAGCCCATTAAATAGTCCTCTTACCATTAATTATAACAAGAAGGTATTTTATGCTTAACTATTCAATCAGTCAATGAATAAAAAGAATAAAAAGTTAAATCTGATATTTAGAGCCTTGAGTAAATTTGGGTTTCATGGTTAACCCAATAACAGATGTCTTAAATATAAACTGATGAAATTTAAAAGAAAAGTGAGGCAATAGATGTAGAATGTACATAAGAGACTAATGTATTTGTATTTATTATAAGATAGGCAGTTGAGAAGAATGCTTAACTTAAAAACTTCTTTGAAACACTTAAATCAAGGATAATCAATGAAAAATTATATTGTACAATGACTTAAACATAAATCACTCAATTTTTTGAAGAAGCCACAACACAAATTTAAAACAAAATCAAACTCTATGAAGACATCTAGAAATTAAAATTGCTATAAAATTATCCAAGTATAATATATTTTTAATATTCCTTTTAGCAAATACTAAGAGGACTTATTCTAAATCTGCTAACATGATACTCAAAAAATGGTTGATTGAAAATTATAACAATCCTTATCCAAAACCTTAATAGATAGAGTAATTAGTATAATAAACTAATTTAACAAACAAATAGGTATTAATATTCATCATTTTTTATAGGTTTTAAATTGGTTTATTAATGCTAGAAATAGTCTTAAAAATAAAGCAAGTTAAGACAAGAAATTTAAGCACATCGTTGAGTGTAAATTCAAAGAACTTGCTATAATAAAAAAAAAAAAAAAAGAACTAAGTATTTGATTATATAGATAAAATCACTGAATATAATTTATTATTTATTATCATAATTTATATAAATTTAATTTTATATTATTAATTCATATTATATTGACATTTTTAATGTATCTATTGAAATTTTTTAAGTATTAATTTTGCATCATATTAATGCTTATGTGAATTAAAAAAAATTAATAAAAAATCATTTAAAAACATGTCCTTGGATAAGACAGATTCTTATTTTCAACTAGTTATTCAAATTTAAATCATTTACAATATTTACTTCAAAATGACATTCTAATATTGATCATCTATAAAATTATCATTAATTAAATTTTAATTAATTATTGAGCGTGTAAGAATTTATAATAATAATAAATCATAAATTCAACAATCTACTATCTATTATGAAAAATTTGATAATTTTTAATTTATTACAAAACATTTATCAAATAATTCTAACAAATATTTATGATGATAAGTATAAAAAATGCAACAACACTAAATAAATGAAATAAATTTGAATAATATTAAAAAAGTTCCTCAAAATTAATATTTATAATTTAAATGTTTGTCATATAATTTTTTTAATTACCATCCTATTCAGGGTAATCCTCGTATAGAATAGTATTGAACTTTTTGAGTAAATTTTATAAAGAGAATTTGAAAATTTGAACAATCAAGTACATGCTATTATCTTTATCTATTTGATATCATACTTTTATTAATAATTATAAAGTATTTGTTGATTATTTTACTTACTAATACAAACATTTTTACTTCAAAATTTACTTAAGAGATTTCTGAGTAAAATTGATTAATTTGTTTTTATATATAGTATATAATTCAGTAACTATATAATATAGCCGATATTTTTATAGATGGATGTAAATTGAAAATAGAATAGTGTTAGAGCTTGATATAGATTAAACTAATTTATTAAAATATCTTAATATATATCATATATAATGATAAATTGAAAAGTCTTAATATCTCTTAATATATTCTAGTATAAAAAATAAAAATAATTATTTAATAAATAAAATGAAATCAATGCTTCATCATCTTCAGAAACGAGGTTCAGTTGTATTAATGGAACCGTATAAGAATAATAATTAATTTTAGCATAAATGATGGAATGGATAAAGTTTAAGATAAACATCAGGTTGTGTAAACTTATGTTGAGTAAGTGAATCCTAAAACTGGAATAGCAATTTAAAAAGAGGTATATATAATAAGAAAATAATTAGGAAGAAAGATTAAATCAAAGATATTTTCACTTAATGAATTAACTAGAAAGATTAAAATATTAAATAATAAAGTTAGAAGAAAAAAAAAAATCATAAGAAGAGTAATTTTACTAAAAGTTATTATTAGTCTCGAGAATCATCCTTCTGTTAAAGAAGTTGTAGCTGAATTACATAAGATTTCTAAATATGAAAAGGCGTTAAATGAGAACCATAGCAAAATAGTTGATGAGATAAAATTAAATAAAATGACAATAAATTAATTGAAATAGACTGTTTACTAAAAAAGAATTGAAATAAGAGATATAGTAAGAGACTCTTTCAGAATATAAGAAGAAATGATTAGAATTAAACAACAAAAAAGAACAGTTTCCAGTATATATTGTAAATAATAAGTCGACAGAAATAGTGTTGATATGTTTTTAACTATGCCAGAAACTTCCATTCCAAAACCATAAATTTTACCTTCAATTCCATTAAAATAAAAATCTAAAAGTACGCTGCTCCATATTATGAAAAATGTTTAATCAGAAAATCAGTAAGAAGTATTGATAACAAAAATATATTAAATAGAAAATTAATGATATTGTGTATATATATCGTCAAGTTTAAGAATTGCGATCTAGAACTCAATAATCAACTCGCTTCATTTAGAAAGTGACTAATAGATATTGTTAAATCAGAAGCTTGTTATCAGAATGTGCTAGTTTATCTATTTAAAGTTTCAAGAACAAATAAAAAATAACTAATAAAAATGGTTATGCTAACTCTATTTATTTTGATGTAAGTACACTGAATAATAGCAAAAATGAAAGTAGTATCATTAAAGAAAGGAAAATTCAAAATATTTTATATGATACATTATAACAAATAATGATTGATTTAATCGATTCTCAATAAAAGACTGATTTAAATGGATCATCTATTGCAGATTCGATGTATTGTTATTTTAAAATTTAGAATTCGAAATTCAGTAAGTTAAGAGCAGTTTATGCAATTCAATTCAGTTTAAATTCTTGGGCTTCTAGCATTATAACCTCGTTTATTAACTGAACTATTAGGAATCTTTGATTTAAAGCAAAAATAAGTTGGTTTATTGTGCAATAAGACGAGATAATTATAAAAATAATTAGATATTCCATGATTCCTCTAAAATTTTAATATTATAATTAAAAACAATATATAATTAATAATATCTAAAGAACTGATGATGAAATGCGAATAAAATCAATTTTACTCTTTATTTATTCTATTAAAATCTATTTTTATTCTCTAATAATATTTAATCTAACAATTTATATAAAGCTAAATGTTACTTTTTTTTTTTGATTAAAGAATGTCAACTTGAAATTATAGCTATTTTTGTTTATTAATAAGGAGAGATGAATAAAAGAAGAGTTATTTAAATATTATTTAATACTTAACAATCCTGATGTATTGCATAATGTATTGCATAATTCCCTTTTTATCATATTTTGAATCTCTTAAAAAGTTAGTTATTGTTTCTATTTAATTTATTAGGCTTAATATTAAAAAAGAGAGAAGTAGTTTTATTATTTTTTTACTACTTTATTTTGCTGGTATGTTTTTTTTATAACAGACAATATTTTATTAATAATTGATAAAATTATTTATAGGTTAGTATTAAAACTTGTTTTATGGAAGTATCTGATAATTTCGACCATATAATTTGTTTTGTGTTTGTATAATAGAAAAATAGTTTCTAAATATTTAATATTTTATTACAAATATAGATTAAGAATAAGAATAATTAGGATTACAATATTTTATTCTTGATTATACTTTAAATTCTTGATCTTCGATTGATTTAGAAAGTGTCAAAATATTTGATTACTTCTTAATAAATTCATTTTCTCATGAAATATCGTAGAGATAAGGAGTTTCTTTGTAGAAGAAAATAATTTTAGGGAACAACAAAAATTGAATAATATTTAGAATTAGATTTTTCAGTAATTATGATAAAATGGTGATTACTATTACAATAGTTGTTGACACTATTAATAACATTATAAATAGTATAGATTAAAATGTTAATTTATAGTGTAGTTCAAAATAGATTGGAATTGATTTTTGTTGAGATGAGAATAGTCAATATACTTATTTTGAATATCAAAATATATTAATAAAGACATGATAGAGGAAAGTTATAGGGATGGATTAATGATTAATGTTTGATTTTGAGAAATATGTATTAAAATTTATAAATTAATAAGTAAGTATAAAAGCATTAATTATAATATCAACTAACCAGTTTTATAAATTATTTATAAAAGATGAAAAAAAAATTGTAAAAAATGCATAGACATAAATTGATATATGAGGATGTATTAAAATAAGTAGAGAAGGAGGATGTATTATAATTAGATATATAAAAGGTTGCATTTTTTAGTAAATGTACAAAATTTAGAGATTAAGCACCTCATCCAATAACTTTAAATAGAGCTCTTCAATTTTTATGGTTAAAAGAGTAGGTATAATAAATGAAATGGATTATATTTTTAGAAAATTGATAGGAAGATAGCATTACAATTTGGATAGAGAAGAGTATGTAAAATAGATTCTACAATGAAATATGATGGTCCATCAAGTGCTCGTATAATAAGGACATCAAAGATTGATTAAGGGATGATAAATGGTTGGCATAATGGTGCTGGAGATTCTAAATTTGATCTAGGTCCTTAATACAACATAAAAAAACTAGAGAAAAATGCAGAGGAAATAGAATATGAAGAATTAATCAAGTAAGATCAATAGAGTCCAAGTGAATACAAGGTTAAACTTAATCATTAAGATTTATATAATAATGATATAAGTGAGAAATATGCATTCAGTAATTTAGATTCAAAGGAATTATTATAAAAATTAAACGAACTTAAATAAATTAATAAATAAAAGACTGAATAACCTTAAGAGTATGTAGAATATGAAGGATAAAGATTTTATCATGTATTGAGTGAAATATAAGATTATTTAGATAAAAAAATTGATAATAAAACATTGATTTAAGAAATGAGAGCATTTTAAACATTTTATCCAATAAAAAGAAAGTTGTAAATTAAATAATTAAATCCTGGGGATCCTCTATCTTAAGTATCTGATTAATAAACAGATGTTAATTAGAAGACAATTTCTACAAGATTATTTGATAGAAAGAGAACTTTTACTAATATGAAATGTGAGTTATTTAATACAAATAATTATGTATTTCATGTTAGAGAAGTACCTAATATAGGATAATAATTAAGGAGAAATCACTTCTCTTAATTGATAGAAGAACTGAAAGAGAATGGATTAAAAACACCTAAAGAAATAAATGAAGTAACACCTGAACATTCTATTAAGCCATCATAAATAGAATCTAGTGAAAATGATACAAAATAAATTAGAAAATTTTATTTAAAATTTCCAAAATAAAAAGGAGAATCTAGTTAAACTACCTCACATACGAAAAGTTAAAGATTTGGTACATTATAATCTTAGATATCTAATCAATATCATTAATAAGGTATGAAAGCTTCTATGAGTAATATACATGGAAGTAGTACTGAAATAAGATTAGAGAGTCCTGGAAAATATAAGAATAGATTAGATTCTAGAATTGATAAATATGTAAAATAGTATTTAAAGAACTAAAGTGTTAATTAATAAAATTAAAATGTTGATATGACGATATTAAGGGAAAAGTTTAGAGTAATCTTATAATTAATAGTTTTTAGTCTTTGAAAACAAAGAGAGATAAAGAAATTACAAGAATGTATAAAAGTTAGTAAATTGAAGGGATTAATAATAAAACTATCCATATATAGTGAATTATATTACTCTACTTTTTATAAAATATATTCATGAAATATTTAGTTATTCTTTTAGGTTTGGTTGCTGCATTTGAATATGATGAAAGTTTAGCTCATTAATTGACTGCATTTTCATTTGGTGCTTATTGTGATATAAATGATTTAATAAATTGGAATGCAGGATAAATAAGTGAACAATATCCTCATTTAACAAATGTTTAAGTATTTGAAAATAATGAAATGGTAATTTAGATATTAAAATTTAGAAAACAAGAGGATATATAGCATACAATTCAATGACTTAAGCAATTACAGTTGTTTTTAGAGGATCTGAAAATATAAAGAATTTTATTGCAGATATAGATACAAAGAAAACAGAGTTTAATTCAGTTTGTAAATGTTAAGTTCATGAGGGATTTTTGGCAGCATACAAATCCTTAAAAATATATTTAGATGATTTATTTGCAGGATATAGAGTAAAATATCCATATGCTAAATTCCATGTGACAGGTCATTCATTAGGTGGAGCTATGGCAACATTATTTGCTAGTGAATTATCTATGACTGGATTAAAAGTGATTTTAGTTACTGTTGGATCACCAAGAGTAGGGGATTCTAATTTTTATGATTGGTTTTCTAAATTAAAAGTGACACATACAAGATTAACAAATAAAAAGGATATTGCTCCTCATTTACCACCATTTAGATTCAGTTTCGAACATGTGAATACTGAAGTTTGGTATTATGATGGAATTAATTACATTATTTGTTAAGAAGTAAAAGGAGAAGATCAAAGTTGTTCAGTATCAGTAACACTTACAAACTTAAATGATCATCATTCATATTTAGGTTGGTCATCAAATTCATGTAATTCTGTACCCGTAAAAGAAATTTTAGAATGATTTGATTATGAAAAATGATTATTAATATAAAAATTTAAATTTCATCAGAATTCAGATAATTTTCTATAATATGATGTATTATTTAATTAACAACTTTTCTCGAGTGTTCTATATATTTGATATCAAATAATACATAAGCATTTTGATTTAAAATTATTCTGCAATAATAAAATAAATAAAATCTAAATGAGATCATCAACATTAGTTTTGGTTATTTTAACAATGACAGCCAGTGCAACATTTGTTTACGATGAAGTTTTGGCAAAGGAAGAGGCTGCCTTATCTTTTGCAGCTTATTGTCCAACTTCCTCTATAAATAATTGGAAGGTGGGTTATGTAAGTGGTAATTACCCTGACATCTAAAATCCTAAAGTCTTTGAAAATATCATTTAAGTATGAAAATATTATAAATTTTTTTAAGGGAACAAAAGGATATATTGCTTACAATCCAAATATAAATTATAAAGCCATAACAATTGTCTTCAGAGGTTCAAGTAATATTTAAAATTGGTTGGATAATATCTAATTTGATAAAGTTAATTATAATGATGCTTGTTAATGTTAAGTTCATAAAGGATTCCTTGAAGCCTTCAAATCACTTCAACCAGATCTTGATACTCTTTTCACTAAATATAGAAATATGTACCCAAATGCTAAAATTCATGTAACCGGTCACTCTTTAGGTGCTGCTATGGCTACTCTTTATGCTACTCAATTAGCTATTGCTGGTAATACAGTTCAATTAACTACTTTTGGATTACCAAGAGTTGGTGATGAAGCCTTTTATAATTATTTCTCATCTTTCACTAAATTATAACACTTTAGAGTTGTACATGAAAAAGATGCTGTACCACATGTAAATCTTTTTCAAATTTTAGGTTCCACCATAAAGCTTTGGATTCAATCATGTTGATAGAGAAATCTGGTATCACAGAAATTCATACACTGTATGCTAATTAGATGAGGATCCCAATTGTTCAGACTCTGTTCTTATTCCATCTGTCGCTGATCACAGTTTCTATATGGGATGGAGTTCATCAGTTGACTGCTGATATTTTATTAAATCATAAAATTAAAACAAAATCATTCTATTTAAATATATCAAACCTTTTTTGAACTAGAATTAATATTTTTTATTATTATTTGTTCATGGATTTGAATGAAGAAAACATTATTCAAATATTAGGTGAGTTCTTGCTTTCAGATGGATTTCAATATTATACCAAAATTTATGAAATATTCTCATGTTTATCAGATCAAGATTGTGATCATCTCTTTTTCGATTTTATTCTAGGTTTTCTAAAGAATGAACCACCTTACAAATCATTATAGTTAATACATGCTTTTCTTACAGCAACTGCTTCACCTCAAACTTACATATGCGAACTGATTGAACAACAACATTATGAAATTTTAGCGCTTCATTTGTAAATCAACTCATTCACAGATAATCAAATCAAATAAATTGTCTATGATAAACTTAAAGAATAATCAAATGACTATAAACAAATATTTTTGCTTCAAAGATTGTATTTTCTTCTTGATCCAAATAAAAAAGATAGCGCCGAACAAATTTTCACTAATAATTTAAAAATTATTCAATAGATTTTTTCAACCATTTAGGAAGATACCTTAGTTTAATATTTGAAAGTCTAATCTATTTTAGTTCCTTTTTGCAAGGAGATTTAGCAACAAAAATTAATGAAATTGATGGTGTTAATTAAACAATAGAACCCAAATATTGGAATTCAATTGTAATGGGCTATCTATGAAGTTTATGAATAAATAGGATGTGCTTAGAATCCTCCAGAAATGGAAACCATTGAGAATACACAACCTAAAATCTCATTTAGATTGTACTATGTGAAGCAGAAGTATATATAAAATATCAGACAATTATCTAATCTGATTAGAGATATGGAAGATGAACAAAGAGACAATTTTAAACTTTATACATAATGGCAATTACAATTGTGATTTTATTTATTAAATTTTATACCAATATTTGTAAATAATAGGAGCAAAACTTAATAATTCAATAGAATAATTATTAAATATTAAGTTCTTAAAGATTTTATAATTCCATTATTTGTTAATTATTGTATGATTATTATTAATTTTTGTATGTTTTATAAGAATCTACAAGGTAAAAATGCCTAATTACATCTTATTTATACTGACATGTATATGGTGTGTATATTGAGAATAAGTACATCATATCAATTTGCTTTTACATTTTTAAAGAATAGTTACTAAATAGACAATTAAATTCTAGAAAAATAAACTTTATCAAAATAGATTTTATGTTTATATTTCCAAGAGTTATTGCAAGTGTAAATTTATGAATTTGTTTATGATCATGTATTTAATATCAAGTTAGAAGTGGTTTCATTAGAAAATGAAACTCAATTAATATAAGGTGTAAATATGAGTAGAATTTCTTATTAAGGAGTTACTGATATTTTGTATCATATGTTTAAAGACAAAAAAAATAAGATGTTTTCTATTAATTGAAGTTGTAACCATGAAACAAAGTACTTAATTTCATTTGATTATCACTTTCGTCTTCAATAATTTTCTCAAATTTAAACAAAAATTAATATAGAATTATTTTGAAAGTAAATATTTTTTTTAATAAAATTTCTCTAAACCAGATGAAACTAATTCAGTTCCATAAAGCTTTAGAAAAACTAACTATTCTATTTGAATTACGTTATCATTGAATAACCTGAAAATGGAATAAAATTTTATGGTGAATTTATGAATTCTTATAATTTTCAGGCTCAACACCAAATATCATTAATTATATAAAAGTAAAGAAGGACTAGATAGATTTTAATTGCATAATTGCAATATAATTTTAATAAATATTCAAAAGCCATAATTAATTATTTACTATACAGTTCTATATATTTAGATACTATAAATTATTATTCGTTAAACGACATAAATCGATCTTGGGCTATATCTTTATAAAAAACTATTAGCACATTAGCACAAAAATGAAATTTAAATAAATTTTACAAACAATTAAGTTATCATGATAAATAAAAAAATACTTGTGATTACAGACATTTCTCGAACTCTTCTTCTTGCAGAAAGATTGGGTAAGTAATTGTATTTAGATCGCAGAAGAGACTTAGATAATATTAAACCTAATGACAAATATGAGAATTATAGTATTATTTGGAGACCAGGTAGAGAATTCTTTCTTGATTCTCTCATGATTAAATACAGGGATAGATTTGATGTTGCAGTATGGTCAAGCTTAGATAGAGATAAAACAGCTGCATTTGCTAAGTCTTTTTTTGGAAAACATTTCAGGAATTTACTTTTTGTTAGCACTTGCAATCGAGAATAATATGAAGGTACTTAAAAAGACTATAGTACTGAACCAATTAAGATTGAGAGAGATCTATCATTGATCAATTAGAAATTCCCAAATTATGATCTCCCAAATATTGTTATGGTAAATGTATATCCTAATCTTTTGGAATAACATTCTTGTATTTAATTTTTTATTATGAAGTTAATGATATCATAATACCAAAATTTGATCCATAAATTGTTGATGTGTAAAATGATGGATCTTTAGATTTATTGGTGAAATATTTGAATGGACTTTCGATGCTAATAAATAAGCAAAAGGTTTAAGATATAAGAACAGCTATAAGAGCAAAGCCAATAGAGAATATGGATAAGAGGATGGAAAATTTACGTAATAAAATGCATGAGTATTTATGATTAATGTATATAACCTAATTAAGTGGTTCTGAAATAATAAAAAATAAATATAATGATAATATTTGTATTAATCACACTGGTGTTAGGATAAACAGAAACTTTAGTTGTTAAGCATCCATAAGAGTTAGCAAAGAAAGTAGAATTAGAGTAGATAAAATTTAATATTGCAAATTTTGGTTATGTACCATATGGATAAAGGATTGCAGGAGTTCTTGAAGTGGCATCACCATTTAATTTTTGTTTTGCAAATTAAAATAAAAGTAATAATTTCAATAGTGATTATTCAAATGTAAAAGTACTGTTAGTTGAGAGAGGAGATTGCTCATTTTACATAAAAGTATAAAATGTAATAATAGAATTAGACAATGAATGCATAATAATAGGGGTATTAGATGTTAATAATAGTGGATAATTTAGAAGAGGAGATAACAGGTTTGAATTTGGTAAGTTTGAATGAGACAAAGGAGATTGAAATACCTGCAATAATGATATCTAAAAAGTAAGGTGATATAATTAAAGAATATATGGAGAAAAACATAAATGAGAAAGTTTATATAGTAGTGAAATTTCCAGAGATGAAAAAAACTGAGAAGGTGAATTATTAGTATTGGTTTAGTGCAATGGATATATCTAGTTATTTATTTTTAGAATAGTTTTATCCATTCCATATGGAGATGAAGGATTAATTAGAATTTATTCCACATTATTCATTAGATAGATGTGGAATGTGTAAAAAATAAGGTTATAACAAACCCACTTAATAATGTTTATCTGGAGGTAGATATTGTGCAAATGATCCTGATGCAGATGGTCCTTTAACTGGTTAAGATGCTGTAAGAGAAATAGTGAAATAATTATGCATATTTAAATAAGACAAATTGAAGTGGTGGAAATATGTAGTAAAATATAGTAATCTTTGTTTAAAAGATATGTAAATATCTAAATGTTCATCTGAAATAATGGAATAAATAAATATAGATTCAAAAGAAGTTTAGAAATGTTATTAAGATAGTTTTAAAAATAAAAATGATGAAATTGAGGATAATGAATTACTCAGCGAATAATATTAGATTAACCTTAATTATTAAGCATATTATTGGCCTATTTTGTATATAAATGATCTAAAATATAAAGGATCTTTAACTATTCCTACTAAAACTTATTAATTTGAAAATGGACCTTAATAGTTATTAGATACCTCTCATTTTGGACCACTTTAAACCATTTGTAGAAGTTTTGATGAATAATATCTTCCTAACATTTGTAAATAAAGAATGATTGGTTATATTGATAATGGAAATTGGGTATTCACTCTATATATTATCTTAGGTTGAACATTCTCAAGACTCAAATACTTGGGTTGTATGGATTGTGGTAATCACTATTATGATATTACTCATGTTTTGTACCATTTTCCTATATAAGAGAATGTTTAGAAAAGAAACTAATGAACAAATTGTTTAATAAGTCAATATTAATCTGGCTCAATATTATGCTTTGTAAGAACAAAAAAAAATATGAGAAAGTGATTTCTTATATATTATCAATGCAATTCAATCATTAATTCATTTATTAAATCTTCAAAGATAAAATCTGTTATCTCAAACAATGTCTCTGTCTTATCCTATCTCCATTCATTTTATTTCTCTTCTAACTATTATCTCATTATTATATATTTATACCTCCTTATTTATACTTTATTGTAATCTTTCATTTCTTAATTATTATAAATAGTCATTATTCATTAAACTTTACATCACTTCCTCATAATTTATACTTGATTAAACATTATCATCATCATCATTTATTAATCCACATAAAGTTGAAGCATATTATATTATTCTCTCCTTTCCTTTCTCTAATAATAAATTCACATTCTCTTCATTGTATAAGATAACTACCAAATTACCCTCCCATTCCCAAGGATATGGTTAACCTTAACATTAATAAAATGGTCTAAATCCATTTAGAATCTCATTAAACGTATCAAAAATAGCTCTATTATGAATCAACTCATATGGATTACTACTTTGCTTAATCTATGATATTGTCATACCTGTATTTCTTAAAATGAAGTTTCCTAAATCGGATTTTCATATTATTTGTCTTAAATAATATTGTATCCATGAATCTTTCTTATTTTATCATAAGGTGATAGACCATAAGGGTAATTCATTCTTTTTATAAATTCATTTAAATTATTATCTAAATAAATATTAAATAATTCTACTTAAGATATAAACACACAATAACTCGATAAATAAGTTAACAGTTCCAACATTTGTCTAGATTTCGAGATCATAAATTGGAACTTAAAAATCAAAGTTCATGTCTTTTTTTCTAAAATCTCCTTATTGGTTTTAGTTTAAAAAACTTAAGAATTAATCCTAAGACTCCAGATAACTCGAATCGCATGACATTTATTCTACATTTAATTTTTAGTTTACATAACTATTAAATTACAACAGAATTATTTGATTGTAATTCTTAAATTATTTTTAGATCTTATGTAGTCTTTTATTAAATTTTGTTTGTCACATTTTGAATTTTTTATAATAATTCTTAACATTTATGTAATTTATCTGTTGATTAGGATTTCCATTAATTTAAAACTTACCCATTTTAATTAAAAGATCTTGGTGAAATTTTTTGCTATTCTAATAAAGTTGAAAATGCATCAATTTACATTTAAACTCTTAAATTAAGAGTTGATTCTCTTTAAGAGCATATTTCATTAATTATATTTAATGGTAAACATTCATTAAATGCTTTTTATTAATGTTTCAATTAAACATCTATTTTTTAATGAATACTGGTTTATAATGCTTCATCAATTTTTTCTTTTTTAATATTTTTCAAAAAAGATTATAATTCAATGATTTATTTTTCATTCATCAATTATAGTTCATCAATAATTTGATTCATTAGCATTTTATGAGGATCTTCACTTACTGAAAAAGTATTCAATCTAATTGAACTAATCTTACTTATTTATGGTTAATAATATTAATTTTAAGTTTTTTATTTTTTGTTTTTTTTATTAGGGGAACTAACAGTAGTTTTTTATTTAATTTTTTTTTTACTTTGACTTCTAATTTATCTTTATGGTGGACTTGATTGTCTTTATAATGGACTTGATAATTTTTTAATGTTTTATGGTGGTGATTTAGAAGGTGTGCGACTTTTTGGAATTTTACTCTTAATATAATATTTTAAGATATCTTTGAGTGGTTTTTAAGGTGAATAAACTTTTTTTTTTTAAGTGAGAACAGAACTTGTTTTTAATTTCATGGATTATGGACTAAATTTATTAAGTTAAATACCTTTTAGTAGTTTTCATCTTTGTTTTAAAGTTTGGTTTAATATACATGGTTTTACCATCAACACTACTATTAGCATTAAGTTTTTTAATTTTTTCTACTTTATCAATAGGAGTGGTTTCAGTAAAAAGACAAGACGATCTAAGTGATTTGATTTCACTAGCCTTAATGCTTTATTTCAACTGTTTAAGTTTAGCTTAGAGTTGTTAAATAGGAAGAATTTTCTAACGTCTCTATTTATTCATAAATATAATATATTATTATATAATCAGAACATAAATGCTTGTACAACCTAAAAGAAAAGATAGTTTGAATAATTACAGAATTTTCTTGAACTCCATAATTTCCAAACATATTATGACCTTTCATTTCTCTACCATTTACAAACAATTTCATCTTCTATGGATTTTCTTATGATTATAATTCTTTCATTAATAATTCCACTTTATCGCCTGTATTAAACGAAACATCTTTATCACTGATCCATTTAGTACTTCTAATTTTAAACTTTAACATAACAATAGAATAATACCTTAACAACTCTACGATCAAAACTTTAGTATAGATTTTAATCATAAGATTGTTTTTAAGGAAAGGAAATGGGATTATGCATAACAAAAACTGGTAAATCATATTTCTATCCTATTGAATCCATTTTATTAACATACCATGATTGTCAAAAACAATTTACATACTATTTTTGATTAGCTTTAAGTCAGCAGCTTACAAAAGAGTCTTAGCAGTTCCTAATTTACAATACTCTGTACCTTCATCAGCTTCTAATGCAGCTCTAATTGTAGCCCAATTTTCTTTCTATCCCTCTATTCTTGAATCTATTATTCAAATAGACATATATACCCCAAAATTCAACTCTTTTTTATTGCCATTCTTCTTTAGATAGACGAGATTCATATTAATTTGCCTTCTTTATTCCTGTACCTACAAATTGATCTGGAATCAATGTAAAGTAACTATTGTATTTCTAATTCACATTTAATGGGTGAGTTATTTCGATGATTTACGAATATTACTATCAAATCGATTTCATTTTACTTAGTAAGCCCTTTATAATCTAGGATTAGAAGGTAAAGAAACTTCATTCTCCTAATTTTTTGTTGCACAACTACCCATTTTTATTTATTAATTAATATAATCACTTTTATGAAACACTGCTGCTAAAACTAGAGTTTAAATCTTCCTTAATTTATTCCTAAAGGTTTGCATTCTCTTCCATCAACGATTTATTACTCATTAGTAATCTCTCTATTTATTCTTCATTCACTACAATAATAACTTAAACTACTTACACTTTATTTTCATTTATAATTATTCAATCACTTAATTATTTNTCTCTATTTATTCATAAATATAATATATTATTATATAATCAGAACATAAATGCTTGTACAACCTAAAAGAAAAGATAGTTTGAATAATTACAGAATTTTCTTGAACTCCATAATTTCCAAACATATTATGACCTTTCATTTCTCTACCATTTACAAACAATTTCATCTTCTATGGATTTTCTTATGATTATAATTCTTTCATTAATAATTCCACTTTATCGCCTGTATTAAACGAAACATCTTTATCACTGATCCATTTAGTACTTCTAATTTTAAACTTTAACATAACAATAGAATAATACCTTAACAACTCTACGATCAAAACTTTAGTATAGATTTTAATCATAAGATTGTTTTTAAGGAAAGGAAATGGGATTATGCATAACAAAAACTGGTAAATCATATTTCTATCCTATTGAATCCATTTTATTAACATACCATGATTGTCAAAAACAATTTACATACTATTTTTGATTAGCTTTAAGTCAGCAGCTTACAAAAGAGTCTTAGCAGTTCCTAATTTACAATACTCTGTACCTTCATCAGCTTCTAATGCAGCTCTAATTGTAGCCCAATTTTCTTTCTATCCCTCTATTCTTGAATCTATTATTCAAATAGACATATATACCCCAAAATTCAACTCTTTTTTATTGCCATTCTTCTTTAGATAGACGAGATTCATATTAATTTGCCTTCTTTATTCCTGTACCTACAAATTGATCTGGAATCAATGTAAAGTAACTATTGTATTTCTAATTCACATTTAATGGGTGAGTTATTTCGATGATTTACGAATATTACTATCAAATCGATTTCATTTTACTTAGTAAGCCCTTTATAATCTAGGATTAGAAGGTAAAGAAACTTCATTCTCCTAATTTTTTGTTGCACAACTACCCATTTTTATTTATTAATTAATATAATCACTTTTATGAAACACTGCTGCTAAAACTAGAGTTTAAATCTTCCTTAATTTATTCCTAAAGGTTTGCATTCTCTTCCATCAACGATTTATTACTCATTAGTAATCTCTCTATTTATTCTTCATTCACTACAATAATAACTTAAACTACTTACACTTTATTTTCATTTATAATTATTCAATCACTTAATTATTTATATTTTTATATTTCTCTTCAATTTCATTTTTTATTATATTATTCAATTCTCTAATACCCATACTATACAACCTTCCTCTAATTTATCAATTACTCATAATCCTACTTCCTTTAAACCATTTCATCTAATTTTCAAATTATTAATACAATTAGTATTAATCACTCTTCTTCCTATTTAAATCATTTCAAAGAATTTCTCTTCTTCAAAAATCTAATTATTTCAATTATAAACTTTTTACACTTTTTCTTTAAATGATTTTGTTCAAACATTTTTCATCTTAATCTAGTCTCTCCTTTCTCAACTTTATAAACTTCTAATCTTCTTTACTCTCTTGTTCTCCTCTTTCTTTTTACTCCTTTCTATTTCCTCTTTATACTACTATCTTAATTCTTTAATTTTCCACAAAAATTCTTTCTCATTTAGAGTTTTTTATATTAAATTATCTTAAAGATTTTTAATTTGGATTTTATAATTATTCTTTGAATTGACTACTCAAATAGTTTCTTTTTTATATGTAATCCATTTTTTATTAATCTATTTATTTTATATATTTATCTACTACTTTTTTTAATTATTCATTAATTAATTCCAATTTATTTATTGTAACCTATTATACTTCTTAATCGATAATATTTTCATCTAACTTTTTCTTTTAATCTGAAAAATTGTATTCAAGTTCTTAACCTTTTTTTTTTTTAAGTTTTAGCCTATATACTTTACTTTTTTAATATATTTTAAAAATATTCTATTGTCTTTAGCTTCTTTCTCTCGCTGAATCTTAAAATTATTCGAATCATTTTACTCACTCAAAACTTATATATATCATTATTAACGATTGAAAAATTATTATTTATCTTAGATTTATTTTCTTAATGAATAAATCAATTTAATTTTTTAAGAAATTATTAATTAATAAGATTTTCTATTTTTCTGATTAATTTATTTAGCATAAATTATAATTTCTTTTTCTATTTCTCAAAAATTATAATTAATTCTGTAGTTAATATAGTATTCCTAAATTAAATTTGAAATGTTTTATTTTCAAATTCTTGTTAGATTATTTTAATATTTTCTTGCTTTTATTTTTATCAGATCTTTTTATTCATTTATTTTAGCTTCTTTAAATTTTAAAGTCTTTTATTTTTCAACTTTTTTATTCTTATAAACTTATAATTATAAATTTTACTTATGGAATTTTTAAGGTATTTTTAAGTTCTACATAATATTATTCAATTTATTAATTTTTATTTTAATGAGTTATTTTTTCTTAGATTTTATCTATTAATTAATTTAAGCTTCTTAAAATTATTTATTATAATTCAAATACTTGATTTTAAAAATTTTAAATGATGATTCATAACCATCAATATATTTTTTTAATATTCATTTACCTTATAAAGAAATCCTTTTTGCTTATTTTTGTTAATTTAATTAGTTTATACCTATATATATGTTGAACAAATTTAAGAATTAGATAATAACTAAATTTTATATATGAATTAATATTTTTATAAACTTCTTTTTTTATTTAGTTATAACTGTAAATCTTTAGATTCATTATCTTCTTTTTCTATTTGCTTCTAATTTTCTAAGATTAAACTTTTATATTCAATAATTTATACTTCTTAAGATTAAATTTGCTACTGTTGACCATACATCTCGTTGTTAAAATTTCATAATTATAGATTGTAATCATCAAATAGTTTTAAAGATTTTCTACTTCTTGATTGAATTCAAACTGCTTGCTTTTGGATTCATGCTTAATCTTANCCCTCTATTCTTGAATCTATTATTCAAATAGACATATATACCCCAAAATTCAACTCTTTTTTATTGCCATTCTTCTTTAGATAGACGAGATTCATATTAATTTGCCTTCTTTATTCCTGTACCTACAAATTGATCTGGAATCAATGTAAAGTAACTATTGTATTTCTAATTCACATTTAATGGGTGAGTTATTTCGATGATTTACGAATATTACTATCAAATCGATTTCATTTTACTTAGTAAGCCCTTTATAATCTAGGATTAGAAGGTAAAGAAACTTCATTCTCCTAATTTTTTGTTGCACAACTACCCATTTTTATTTATTAATTAATATAATCACTTTTATGAAACACTGCTGCTAAAACTAGAGTTTAAATCTTCCTTAATTTATTCCTAAAGGTTTGCATTCTCTTCCATCAACGATTTATTACTCATTAGTAATCTCTCTATTTATTCTTCATTCACTACAATAATAACTTAAACTACTTACACTTTATTTTCATTTATAATTATTCAATCACTTAATTATTTATAATTTATTTATTTTGTAATTATTTAATATTTTAATTTTCCTCCTCTAAATTGAAAATTTGTTTCTAGAATTTTTAGTTTTCATCAAAAATTTATTAGTTGACCATGTTCAATCTACTCAATTCAGTTTCTTTATTTTCTAGCAATTTTTGATTTTACTTTTATAAATCCAATAAGTTTGTTAATTTTTCTACCTATTCATTTAGTTTTATATTTTCTCTCTCAATAAGACCATTTTCTTCTCCAAGTTTATTGTTTAAGATTTGTAATTATTTTAATTGATTACTTAATGTAATACAATTTTATTCTAGTTATTAGATTTCTTCTTAATTTAGATCTCTCAATTGTTCTAATTTTTATTCATATTATAAAGTGAGATTATTTATTTCTTTATTCTTATCCTACATTTCTTGTTAGAATTTTAGCTCCATTTATTTTGAATCTTCTTCTAATCTCTTGACTGAATTATGATCGTAATTTTGAGCTTTTTTTGGACTCGGACTACCATAAAGTGGTAATTTACCATATGCTTTTTCGAAATCATTATTTAATTATTGTAACTTTCTATTTTCTCTTGTTAAATTATCTATCTACTATTATAGGGGGTCCATTTATTATAATAATTCCAAATTCTATTTAACTTCTATTTGGTTTTATTATTGCAATAAATTAATTGCATCCTTTTAGCTTATTCCTTATTTCATTAATAAATTAACTTTATCTTATAAATTTTAATTTATTTCTTATATTTCTCTTAACTTAAGTTATAAATCTAAATTTTATTGGGTTATATTTGTATTTTTCGAAATTAATTCTAATATCTAATTTTACTGTTATTAAAATTTTTACTAATCCAATTATGTTCCTGTTTAATCATTTTTTAGATGATTTAACTCTTGCTTTAGTTCATTAATTCTATTTTATTTAGAATGAACTTAATTTTTTAAATCTTAAGCTTAGGTATCTAATTAAGTATTTTTTTATACAGCTCTATCAAGATCTGATTACATAATTATTATTCTTTTTTATAATTCCTCTATTTGATTATTAAATCCTTTTGCTAAGCTATTTATTTTAGTTTTTTCATCTATTTTTTAATTTTGCTCATTAATCATTATTTTTTAGTTATGATTCTCTTGTTCGATATTATGCAAATCAAAAGATAACTTCTTCTATTAATCTTCATATTAGAGGATAAGTCTATTTTTTTATTGCATTTCCTGTTACAATGTTTTAATTTGATTTTATTGCTTTTCATTTTCAATTTAATAAAAACTTTCTTTTTAAATTAAGGTCTATTGAGCAAGTTCATACAAATTTTAAATGTTATGATAATTTATCTATATTTTTTCGAATATTTTTTAATATTTATTGATAATTCTTAAAATATTCTTTTGAAGACATTCAGTTTTTACTTATATCAGGGTTTTAATCTATTCTGTATTATCTTTTGTAAATAAGTTCATTTAAGAATTAATCTTTTGAAATACTAAATCATAAATTGAAGCTTCAGCTTTTATTTATTAATCTTTAATGGATAATAAATTGCTCTATAAATCATTTTTAATAGCAAGCTCAAGTTAAAGTTGATTTGATAAATTTGATAGTTTAAGATCTTAAGAAGTATTTTTTAGATTCAAAGATTCATTTTCTATTTCTAATTATCTTATTTTATTTTCATTTTATCTCAATTGATCCTCATAGTCTTTATTTTTTGTAGTTAATTCTTCTATTTTTACTTGTTTTTATTCAACCTGAATAAAAGTTTGATTTTTTAAATCCTCAATTTGATTCTGTTAAACTTCTTTTAATATTTGTATTTATTTTTAAAGATTTAAAGATGTTTCTTCTTTATCATGAAGCTAAGCTTATAAATTATCAATTTATTTTGTTAAATTTTGTATAATTAAATCTTTTTCTTTTAAATATGCTTCTTGGTTTTAGAGTTAGCATTCTAATTTAGGTTACATTTAAGATAATCTTTATACTTTTAAATTTGATTCAGAATTTTCACTAAACAATTTTTGAATTTCAACAGTTTTAGAATGAAGTTCTTGTTTATATTACTTGATTTATTTTTCATAAATTTCTAGTCTAAGTTAGATGAGTCTGATTTATTCGGTTAACTTATTACAAAGTGAATCAAAATTTAATTATTGTGGTTTTTCGGTAATTAAATCTTCACTTGAATCACTAGAGTCAGAGCTTTCATTAGAAGTTACTGCTTCTAATTGTTTATCATGGGAAATGAGAAAGTTTTAATATTTAGTAATATCTTCTTCTAATTTTGATTATATTTATTTTTGTAATAATTACTAATGATTTAACATTTCAATGACAAGTTCTTGTTTTTGTTTTTGCTGCTTTAAATCTTCTATTTAATGCTAAGATTCTAATAGCTAGATTTCAAATTCTGAATTTTTCTAACAAATAAGAGTAGATTCTTTTTGTTAAATTAATTCATTTTACTTGATTTCATTAATAAGTTTATTGTTATGTAATAGTAAATCTTCATTTTTTTATTCTAACAATCGAATATCATAATTAAGTTTAGAAATAGTTGTTTCTTGGATTGATTTCACTTAAATATGTTTTAATTCAGCTTCTTTCAGATCTGATGTAAGTTTAGATATTTATTCTTACAAATAATTAATCTAATTAGAGGATTCTTGATTATTTTATTTCTCTTATTGATAAGATAATTCTAGATCACTATTTTATTATTCTAATTGAGTAATTTTGAGATTTTGATCCTCAATAAATTTTTATAGAGATGATATATCCACATCTTTTTGTTATAAAATAATCTCTAGTTCTTAGTTGTGATTCAATAAATCTTAATTTTATTGTTCAGCAAGGATTTATTGAGATTAAGCTGCTGATTGCAATTAGATTGAAGAGGATATGATTTGTAATTCAGTAGATTGTTAATTCAATTATTATTTTAAGAGGGTGTTGTGATTTAGAAGATCAGATAATTAAATTTATAGATTTTGATTATCTTATTGTAGTGTGTTGATTTAAGAGTGAAGGGTTTAGGATTGAATTGTATTATTTTGTATTAATTCTAGATTGGTTTTATTTAACAAATCGTTTTCGTTTATGATTAGTGTTATTTCCTCATCTTTGTCTTAAATTAAATTTTGATATTGCTCTATTTTATTTTCGTAATCAACTTTTAGAAGTTCTAAATTAGATTTTAGCTATTTATTTTATTCATTTAATAATGAAGAGCTGTCATGAAGTTTAGAGACTTCATTTTTTTTAATATCAATGGACTTGCGAAGGTCAAGAATATCTCTTTGATAATCTTAGTTTTTGTGATGAGTAAGTTTGATTTGTTGTTTGAGTTCAATTATTTAATCTTTATATAGTTTATTTTTTTTATCATATTTGGATTGTAGTAATTGATTTTATAATACAGATTATGTAAACTTTTATTGAAGTTCCAATTATTGTTATTGATAGTTCTCGGAATCCTTTCTAAGATCTTGAATAATAGATGATTATTGTGATAATTCTAGATGATGTTGTTATTTAAGTTAGTCTATATATTCATTAGAAGCCTAAATTTCTTCATTCAGGAGTTAGATGTCATCTTGTAGTTTTTGGATGAGGAGAGTTTGATTTTTATTGACTTATTTGAGAAGCACCTCATTATTTGAATTTAACATTAATATTTAAAAAAATGATTTAGTAGTAAGTATAACAAGAGGAAGTACAAAAGCAGGAGACAAAGGAAGAGGGAAGAAATGCTTCTTCATACGGAGAAGAAGGAAGAAAAGGACAACAAAAGAAACGTGATTCATCAAATGATTCATACTCAAATTAATCATCATCATTTGAGAACAAGATTGGAAAACGTTATTATCCACATAGTGAATTCAAGATTCACTTTTATGTACGTCATGTACATATGAACGGGATGAGTACAAACGAATTCTTAAGTTTCATAAAGAGAAAAGGTAAGGTATGGTAATATTTAGTGAATTTGGCTGGATCTTGTGATGTGGTGTAGATGTTTAATAGCCAGGGATCATATTGTGATGTAGCAATAGGAATGAGCAACGATGATAATGCAAAGTTAGTATATATTGGGAAGAAGCACTTCAACTTTGGAAGGAATGGTAAGTAGAAGCGTAATTATGAATAGGAAGATAAAAGGAAGTAGTAGAATTAAGTGATGCGTTTAAAAACTATCTTGAAAATAAGAATATGTTGGATAAAGAACACTTGGAACGATCTTTAAGGAGAAATGTAATATTTGAATATTAAAAATAGCAATAATCTAAAGGGAGAAGTGAAAGTAGTGAATCATCTAGGAGATATAAAAGTAGAAGTGTTAGCAAAAAGAAAAAGAGTAAGAAAGTTGAGAGTAAATAATAACAGGGATAAGGATCTAGAAGAAGATCTCCTTCTTCTTCTAGTGAACCTAGAAGAATAAAATAAATAAAAAAGAATAGACATTCATCTAGAAGTTCTTCTTTAGAATTGAATAAAGATTAATTGAATGTTTAACCTATCAAACCTTAACAAGTGTTCACTGATAAGAATAGTGTTTATATCTTCTCTATTCCACAAGAAGTAAATGAGAATGAAGTCATCTAAGAGATTGTTACTCATCATAAATAGAATGCACCTATTAATCATACTTGGAGTTATTATTTATTTAAATTATTAAGACACTTCTGATAAGATGCAATATTTAGAGTTATAATTTTAAGATGAAAATACTGCTCAATATTTAGTAAATTTGAGACCCTGTTTGCAAGTTAAGGGTATTCCTCTTTTGGTTGTAGCTAAAAAATAACGACCTGTTTAAGATTTATTGAGGAATTATGAGGTGCAAGTTGAATTAGATAGAGATGTACCTCCTTTTAATGTCTATTTGGAATTTAAAAAGTATGGAGATCTAATTGGGATTTATGTCTTTTAGTAAAATAGGAAGTATCGCACCTATTTAATTTTCAAGTTATTTACTCTTGTATTCATCGTCCTCTTAATTGCAGGAGGCATTACGTCCTCCAGTCCATTTATAATTGGTCATTAACGATTAAAATGTTAATGCCAACGCCAAGATTATTGATAAACCTATTGATATCCAAAGACCATATATCAAAGAAACTTTAGCTTATTAGCTTAGCACTTAATAGGACAACAGTATTTCAATTCTTATATTATAGAAGATAGAAAAAGAAAAGATAAAAAATGAGAAGCCATTTAATTTAATATTCAAACAATATAATTATTTTCATGTGGCGAAAAAACTATCATAATCTCCTCTCTCCCCTTATTCAATTTATTTAATATTAATTTTTAATTTTATGGGAATTTTCATATGCTAATTTAACCTCAACTTACTCAATTATATAGATGGAGAATCATCTTCTATAAATCATATAAGAATTATTGACTACTGTCATCACATAATTACTCCTTCTTTTCCGAATACCCACTTCATTCGTTTTATACCATCTCATGTCATTATTTTCTTAGGTAAATAAATATTTATGCATACTTTATTAATACCTATTGAAACCACTACTAACTTTTAATTACTTTTGAACTATTTAATATACATAATATATAAATTACTTAATTCATTCAAATTTTTTCATTAGTTTCTTTATGACTTTTGAATAGACATTTTTCTAAAACTGAAATATTTTTATTCAACTTTTCTTGCACCTTACTTATAAAATCACGTAATTTATTTCAATAATCTTCTCAACCTATCCTAATTCAATCTTATCAATAAATCCTTCAAACATTCATTAACATAACGACACTCCTTCTATTTGAATTGCTTGTATTGCTTTTATTATTAGAATTATAATTTATGTCAGTATTTATTAAAGTAGGTTATTCTGGTGATCAAAACAGAACTTTTAAAGTGGCAAAAATTCAATTTAGTTTTGGATTTTTTTATGCTTGCCCTTAATCTAATTCAAATCCAAAAGTAGCATATTCTCCAAAAATATGAAAATCATTTTGCAAATCTAAATAATCATATCCAATTTTTTCACTGTATTTAATAGCTTATTTTTGAATTTCATTTTTATTTAAGTCTGAATGTATAATTGTAAGATTTGGTATATAATTAGTATAATTTACATATTTTTTTAGAAGATAATTAACTTTTCATCCAATTATTAAGGCTTTATTTTGGACTAGAATTATTTGTCTTTAATTTTTAAGATAATTCTAAATTAATAGATGTATCATAAATTCACTTTCATCCATTTGAATAAATTTTAATTTTTTTATAATGCTATTTTTTGATTTTAATATTTTTTAACTCTTTATGCATATATTAGCTACAATTTTAGATGGAAAATAACTTAAATTAGATTATCTTTACATGTGTGCCATTTTTTCTGTTATTGTAAAAAATATCAATTGAAAAGTATTAATAAAAAATTTGAAATAAATTCTATGAAATTGAATATTTCGGAAATAAGATCTGGTTATACAATTTTAACATAATATTGCAAATAGTTTTTATTAAAATTGAACTTGATGATAGAGTAAAGGAAATTCAAATAAAATTATAATATGTTTTAGATTTTACAATAGATTCTGAATATTAAAGTGATGGGAACGAGTTAAGTTCGAAAAATTGATTTACTCTGATTAGTAATAATAGAGAATAGAGATAATTATTATTTTAATTTGTTTGCTTAAATTGCTATTATCATAAATACAATTTTTATATGAAATGAATTTAAATAAGATTAAACATTAATAATAGATAATATTATTGTAAAGATATATGTTTTTTAATGAATGATCAAAATAGGAATGGCAAGGCATTATTGCAATCATGAACCAAGAGGACAATAAAGCTGTAATAGATAAATGGGAAGAATTTACCCAGAAACCTATTAATCCATTTTTGATTTAAAGGACTAGATAAGATATAGGAGGAAACATACCTGAAATAGAGCAAAATGTTGTAATAAAAGACTAGTCCAACATATAATATATTAAATAAAAAGATGAAGGGATACTTCATCAATAAGGTATGAGTAGCCATAATCATTGTGTCTTACCATTCATATTCATTTCTAAGAATCAAAGCAGGGATTACAATCATAGAAACCTTAGATTTGTGAATAAATGGTTTACCATATGATGAAACCAAAGCCAGAATCTACATGGTTCAAAAAAGGTTCCCTCCACAATAGAAATTGTGAGATCAATTAAATAATAGAATGGAATGGGGACAGCCTTATAGTATTGTTTTGGAATACAAAAAACATGACAATAAACTGATCCCAACTGCCTTTTTTTATTTTATGATAATAATCTGGGGTTGTTTGATGTTTGTACAATTGATAGAAACCTGCTGCAAATGTAGGTATCATTTAAAAAAGGCTCCATATATACCTATCATCATGATATCTTTTACCAAAGCATATCATTATGATATCTTAAGGAAAGACAGGTCCATTCAAATGGTATGTCAGCCCAAAGAAATGTCATTAATTAATTTATGTACTAAACAAATTTTATTATTCCTCTTTAATATTGAAATAATTCGATAAATTAATGGAACACTTATCATTTAATTATTATGAGTTTTTTAATGTTGAGATAACATTTTAAACAATCTCTTTTCAAATCAGTAATATCAGTATCAAATTAAAAGATCTAAATCTATAACAAAATCGACATAATTTTCATTAAATAATTGTTAAGATCTGTAATTTAATTAAAGATAATTTAAATATTCATATGTTTATATTGCTATCTAATAAATAATGAAACATTTGTCTACCCTAACTAAAAGATATTTAACATAGAGATTTAAAACCAGAAAACAAATTAATGAAACTGAATACCATAAAATGTGGATGAGAACAGGATCATTACCATATTGAGTAACAGAAACTTTTTTAGATGAAGGATATGATGAAAAAGGTATTTCAATATATCATTTAAAATTTTAATTGATGTTGGAGTCATCTAGTATCAACTTCTATCGTAAAATTTCCATTTTTCTGCGATTCTAAATGAGATACAATAGAAATGATTACTGACCCAAATTTCTCTGTTAATTAAAATAAGGAGTAAAAACTATTATAATCACTTTAAATAGAATTATAACAAAGACTATTAAAGTCAGCACATAAAAATCTAATTCTAGAGATGACTTATAAATTAACAAGAACAATCAAATTACTACATCTTTCAATTCTTCATTCTGAATTGATTTCTCTAATCATATTCATTATACTTAGAAGCAATTTTAAGATTTGGTTATTAAAATCAAAGATCATATTATTGAAAATTCTTAAAGCAGAAAGAACAGCTATTAAATATTTTCTGCTCATACATCAAAATGATGTTTCTCCTATCAATTATTGAATCAAATTAAATAGTCAAAATCTTAAAATTAATTTTCCAAGAAATTGAAATATTTGTAGAAGTTGTTTAATAAATCTTAATATAAAATATTAGAAATTATTTACTCTTATTTATAATTTATCAAAATATTTTTATAAATTAAAAATTAATATTAAAAAACAATATATGTTATTAATAAAAATAATAGAAGAACAATATATAGATTAATCTGAAAACTACATTTTAATTACATTACAATTATAATTTTTCTTTATCCATTCAGCATCTTCAAAATTTTTATTCAAAAACTTATACATATTTATAAACAACTTCCAAAACTACAAAACTTATGCATAAGTTTATTTTTTGATTCTTAAATAAATTAAAAATTCTCCTAACTGAAGAGCCCTATTGCTAATTACATTCTTTTACTAATTAATTTACTTTTTTTGAAATGTCTAAAATTGTAATTTTTCTATATATTGTTGTCTAATTATTAACATAATTTAATTCTTCTCTTTGATTCGCACGCTTGATTTCATTTAATTATTACATCATCCCTAATAAAAAGACTCAAATTAATATTGATTTCTCTTTTTTCAAGAGCTTTATAAATTCTTCATTTTGAATATAAAAAGTGAAACTAAGCTTTCACATTAAGAGTTTCCTCCTAAAGCAGATCCTTATTATAATAAATTGTTTTATTTTATGATAGTATATTTTAAATTATAATTTTACTTTTTAATTATAAATTATAACTTATAATAAATTAATAATACCTTATTTTATACATGAATGAAATCATTTCATTGTAAAAATATATCTAAAACTGGATTAAAAGGAGAGCTTTTCTCACCTTTTTTAGCTTTCACAATTAATTTTTTCATCAAGAAATTTTATTAAATATAAAATAGATCTTTGTCAGTCATTTTTTAATGAATTCCTTTTTGTAATGGCTATATAATATAGCTATAATAATTTTACATTAAATTATTTTCTCTAACTTGCTGTGATTGAATTATCTAATTAACTATTTTGAGGGATAGATGTACAAGTATCTATTTCAGTAGTTTTTTCATTTGTTAATATCAATTTAAATGTATTTGATCTCATTTGTTTGATACATGAATCTAAATTTACTAATAATCGCTAAGAGACTTTATTCTGATTATACTATTTTATTACTTATTATTAATATTATTAATAATCTTATTAATAATCGAATTATTAATTAGGATTAAATTAAGTAAGAATTTATTATGTATTATAATTTTATGGTATGCTGATTTCTTTTTAAGATTATTCCAAAAGATCTTAGATTACTCCAAGAGTAGGACGATTAATATGTAAATTAGATTAATCTTTTTATTTTGACTATAAGTCAATAGTTAACTTGTCAAAAGGTTTGAAATCATTATAATTCTTTGGAGTTTGTGTTAATGTTTCACTAGTTAAACAAATCTGCCTATCAGAGTTAGTTTTATATTATTTATCATCTCTGATAGTTTTAACTGGACTAACATATTATATACGACTTCCATTATTCTATATTTTAGTATTGATTCCACCAGAAAAAGCAGAAACATTAGCTCCAGATTGAGCTTATACTTTATTAGAGGGTTTAGGTGAATTGAGTTACAAAGGCTAAGAAAAGACTCTTTAATGGATATTTTAATCTTTCCCAAGGTTGTTCATCAGTTTGAGTATTTCATCAAGGTTAGAATTGGGTTTGGAGGCAAGATTTTAAATTAAATCAAGTTAAGCTTTGAGTTTGGATTCTATAATGAAGTTTGAAACTGTCGTAATGAGATTGCATATAGCTGATCTTATATCCATAATATTAAATTATCAAATTAAGAAGATCTACATTTACATTTCTAATGGTGCATTTCATTGTTATGTCTTGATGAAATCTTTTAACAAATTGCTTTCTCATTTAAAAAATTATTCTGGAAGGCAACCGATCGATCAGCTTTCATAAATTTACTATTATGTTCAGCAAATAATTTATTCGATTCTTTTTGTTTTGCTTTAATCAGAACTATTAAGCTAATTATATAAACACACACACAGTATATTTTATAAATGTGACTATAAATTTAGAAGATAACTTAAGTGTTTTATTTTAATTATCTCAAACAAAAAACCCTTTCCTAAAGTAATAGAATTTAAAATTTAAAATTTCAAATGTCATTTTTGCTTGTTTTTTTTGGATTTCTAACTAAAAAATAATTGTATTATTTATTTCACTAAAAAATAATTGTATTATTTATTGATGTGCTTCATTTTCTTTATTTTCTTTTTTTTATTTAACTTTTATTCAAAAATATTTTCCTTTATAGTTTACAATTAATAGCAGTTACTTTTAAAAAAACTTTCTTTTTAGTATTATGAAAGTTTCTATAAATTTAACAAATTCATTCTATGATTTCTAGATATTTAATAGTAAAAAATACTTATGATATTTGACTATCAGTTGATTTAGATTGGAATAATAATGTGAGGATTTTTTGAATTGTATTATTCAATTTTTATGTTATGTAATAGAGATTTATAACATAATTGAGAAATGAAACAACTTATACTGTAAGTTCCAATAATTTATTAAATGAAAAGTGTGGAATAGTTATTCCCTCAATTTGAGATAGTTAAAATAGTTAAATAAAGCTCATTTAGGAAGTCATTTATAGTTAAAAGAAGTGCTCATTATTACATGTTAAGAATATTTACATTGGAGAGTATACCTAAGGATAGAGTGCATAATATAATAAAATTACTTACAAAGTTATCTAATCAAAAGAACTCATATAATGTGAAGTTTTATGAAGCTTCTTTAGATTAAGAGATGACATATTTAGGGTATTAGTATAAATTTTGATAATTAGAATAGTGAGTGATTATTTAGATAAATAGTATGAATATTCCATAAAAGAAGGAGATATTTGGAAGACAATTCAAGAAGTACAAAAGCTTAGAATTATTTATTTAGATATCTTATGCTTTATAATTATTTCATCCAAAAAGAATTCATGGTAAATTATTGTTATCGAATGTTTTTTAAGTTCAAGGTATCACTATTCTAGGTGAGATGAATATTCCCTTTTATTTAAATAATTAGAATTATACTGATAGTTATTTATTAGCACCTGAATTCATCAGGACATAAAAATATGATTATAAATCAGATATTTGGATGATGGGATATATGTTGTATTAGATGATGTTTAAGGATCCACTTATTATTGCAAATAATGTAGATGTTTTACATAAAAAAATACTTAAAGGAGTTCATATTACATACAATCCAAATTATAGTCTTAACTTAAACAATTTATTAAAGTTGATGTTGGGTTATGATCCTGAACTTAGACCTAATGTTGAATAAATCTTATTCTATTGTTAATAAGCTTAAATTTCTTAAGAAGAAATTAATTTGAATAGAATTTTACCAAAATTTAAAGCAGATAAATTAATATTACACAAAAGGAGAATTCAAAAAAAATATTAAGCTATTGAAAATATTGTATATTTAAGTGAAGATAATCATAAATAACCTTATTTTCCTCCATCTAAAATTAAAAAGTAGAATAAATCAATTAAACAGCTTACTTATGCTTCTGATTTTAATTTTGCTAGGAAAACTATGTATTCTATGTCATTACCAAAAGTATTGAATTATGAATTTAGCAAAATTAAAATTAAAGATAGTATTGATTAATTAGATATGTAATTTTTAATTATCTATTTCTCTAGACCATAAACCAAATCTCATATTCAACTACTTAAAGTGGATAATCTCATTAAAACTCAAAAAAATATTGTTTAAACTACAAATAGGATGACTCATAATTAAATAGTATTTGTCAATAGAATGACTTGAACAATTAAAAAAGTTAAAAGGTTATTTATTTATTGATTTTTAAGTTTTTTGTTTATTTTATAATTAAATTATGAAGCATCGATATTAGAATGAGAATTCTTAAAATAATGTCTAAACTTATCGATCAGAGAGATCTAGTAGCTCTAATATCTTTTAAGATTTAACTAACAATAGTATTTTCTTAAAATAAAAAAAAGAAGGTCAATTATTGTTTACTAAAGTCCCTATTCAAGGTAACAAATTAAACAAAAATGAATTATAATTTAATGAACAAGAAATACAAACATAATAGAGTAGATTATACAAACAAAAAAAAATTTAATAACTAAAAATTTAGTTATAAAGTTTAAAATAGAATTATGATAAATAATCTTAATAAAAGTTTAATCTCTAAAAAACAATTGATAACACTGTTAAATAGTTACTTGAACTTAAAACTTCTATTAATATAAATTTAATTGAGGAACCTTGGTAAGAGATTATTAAAATGGAAAAGGACATATATGGTAATGAAGATTAAATAATTAAATTTATGCCTCTATAAAATTTTAATGAAGTCATATCAGGGCATTAATTGACTATTTTGGAATTAGTTTATTAATAGTAAAACTTGTAATAATAAAATTATTGGATTGGATAAATGAGATTATTACATGAAACATTTATATAGAAAAATTTAACTATAGGATAAATATTAAAACCGAAATAGATTTAAGAAAATTTAGAAAAATCAATTGAGATTTCATAAGAAGAGATGACTTAATCATTTGGTAAAAAATGCTGAATTATATATAATTATTAATTTATTAATTTAATGGATATTGAATTTGATGAAGTTATGAAAATATTCAGGTCAAATTTACCTTATGAGGAAATTCAGGCTATGGTTTCTTCATCTCTTGAGAAATGGTAAATTGATTATATTAAGAATATAGAATCTGAAGAATATAAGGTAAACAAATGGATTTCTTATTTTATAGTAAGCGTTTCAAATTGGTAAAAAAGTTTGTGTGATACTACAATAGAATCTTAAATAATTGTGCTTAAAAATTCAAAATTAACTTCCAAATATTAAGGATATTAAGGATATAATAATTAATATTCTGGATGATAACAGATAATTTTCAGAAGCTGAAATTAATCAAATGTTCGATATAAAAGTCAAATTAAAAAACAATGATGATATTTTACCATTTGAATTAAAGAGATTACAAGAGTATTTAGAGTATATAATTAAATTCATAAAATAGAGATCATTTATTTTTCTTAATATCTTTTGTAAATAATATTGGTGCTATATAAATTTTAAGAAAAAATATTTAAATTGGACTTAACTATCTTTGTAGAGCCTTATTTATTAGATCATATTTGGTTACAAAAAATTTATTCATTTATTAATAGATTCATTTGTAATTGAATATTTGTTATGCATTAAATTAAATGAATAAACCATAATAAGCAATATAATTGATAACATATCCAATGTAAATTTTAGAAGAAATGAGTTAAGATAGTAAAACACATGATTTTCTAATAAAGAATCGAATTATTTTTTCATTAATTGAATTTTAAATTAATAATAGACAAAAGGCAATGATTCCATATCCTAAGGAAATCCCACCTTATTAGATACATTATCATTTACTTTTGGGATATTAATTTTATGCTTAAATTTTTGAAGTTTTAGGAAAGTATAGTAATGATTTAATACAATTTTAATTAGAACAAAATCCTAATAAGAATGTCAATAGTATTTTAATAGAATGTATGATGAATATAAGAGAATGAATCCAAAAGCATTTGAATAATTAAAATAGAAATAAGAAATATTAGCAGCATAATTAGAAAAGAAGACATCTAGATAGACAACAGAATAAAAATAGGAAAGATAAAAAACAGAATAAAAATAAAGAACAGAATAAAGAGAGGAAGAGAATAGAAAAAGTGAGAGAGAGTAGGATGATAATTCAATAGTTTTTTTTTAAGCTTGGGAGGATGATTTATTTAATGTAGCAATGAATTTGAGAGAAGAATAAGAGTAAGATTTAGATATGATTTTTAAGTTGTTTGGAAATAATAATATATTCAATTGAGATAGGATTTACAAGAAAATTGTATGTTTCATTATTAGACTTACGAGGAGATTATTAAGATATGTAGACTTACAAGGATTTATTTGATTAGATATAGATAGTAGATTTAGAAAGAGGACAATTTGATTTAGTGAATTAGAGATGGTATGAAACATTATCTGGTTGTATGCATAGAATAGCTAATTGAATTGATATAATTAATTTTATGTTTAAAAACTTACCAAGACATATAGTTTTGGGAATCTTAGAATATTTGAACATGCAAGATATTGTAAGAATGAGAAGAGTTAATAGATAATTGTGGATGACAATATCTGCTCATTATTAAATGAGTGTATTTTCTTGTGGTTCCTAAATAGATTTATCAAATTATAAACTGAAGGGAGTGATGTTAAAAATAGAAGCAAAGGATTCTGGATTATGTAAACATAAAGCATTATAAAACTATTTAATGAAATTGAGTACCGGAAGGATAGAATTGTCTTATTATGATAGTGCTTATTAGAAAATAGGCTTTGATGAAATAGTATATGTAGTTTAGAAGGGAAAAGAAAAAGAAATCATAAGAAATATTGAAATAGTTGGAGTATCTCCATCTTCAATTAGTTTGTATCCAAATTCATCATCATGTAAAATACTATCAATTTTATGTATGATACTTTATATGTGATCAAATTATGTTTAAGTTTTTTTTTATTTCTTTTATATTCTGAGATCACTATTTAGATACTCTTATAAAATATATGTATAATTAAAACTAAAATTGAATCTAATGTGATTTTTTTAATTACAAAATTATGTCAATCAATTCATCACATATCTCAGTTTAAGTTGGTCCACATTATGAAGGAGAAGGTGCATTCAGTTTAAGGTAATAAGTTATCTTTAGAATTAAGTTTTAAGGCTCTTATTAATAAACAAGCTGCAACATAACAATTAGAATATTTATAAAAATAAACAGCCGATAATTTAGATACATAATGGGGAGTTGTATTTGCATTCAAGACAATAGATGGAAAAACTTAAGAATTAGTGAAATTTCTTAATGAGACATTTAATCCTATCCTAGAAGATGAAGATCTTAGGATGAAAACTCACTTGTAAGGAACAACTTTATGGATATCATTTTATAAACCTGTTGAAATTGAATAAATCAAAGATGCATTTAATATGATCTTTGCTGGAGGTAAAGATATATTATTTATTTTTTTCAGGTTTTGAAGAATTTGCTGAGAAAAATGAAAACTCAATTTAGATGTTATTATCATCCAATACAGATTTTACATTAGCAAGTGAACTTCTTAAAAAAGGTGACAGATTTATGTCAGTTATTATGAAGAGTCTCAAATTTATTATGAAATTTGATCTTTCTTAAGATTTAGCATAAACAATTTAAAATGTTCTTGAAAATTTTGAACCTGATCTTGCCAAAGATCCTCAAATGAATTTGTTTCTTAAATTTAAAAATTTTAAGGTCGATTTAGAATACAAGAGTTCTGATGATTGTCCTGAATTCATAAGAAAAAATGGGTTCTATGGAAAAAAAATTTCATAATGGATTCAAAATGGAGAAGCAGTAGTTTAAGATGAATAAGCTGTACTCATTATAAAACAAATTTAAGAAGTAATAATTACATTGAATTTTAGAATTTGGCAAATTTGGAAACTGATTTCTATTTTACAATTCCAAACTTTTTGGCTATTAGTGGAAATGGTAAATTTCAAGGTATTGGTTAATTTTTATTGGATAATGGAAACATCATTGAAAAACTGTGATATCTTTATGAGATGTTTGATTTTACAAATATAAATATTATTGAAATAGGAATTAAATAATTATTAATGTTTACTTTATTATTAATTCCATTTGTTGATGCTCTTTTCTCTGGCTTCGAGTATGTCTAAGTGACATCTCAACTGGAATATTCTGCATATACTTTTAGAGGTGTGATAACTGTGATTCCATAGACAAACAATATTTTATTATGGAAATGTCATGATCTAGAAGAAGCAATACCAAATATTTCATTCAATCTTCTTGAAAATGGAACACTCTTGAAGCTTAATGACTTCAATCTCTAATATGAATACGAAGTCAAACCAAATCCTTAATTCATCTTCACTTACTAGGACTCCACGTAAGGAAAATTAGTAATTGATTATTTAACATATAAAAATACAGAATCTGAGTTGCAATTGAAAGAAATAATAGATCGAGTTATAATTGACGAGTACACTGTTGATTGGGATACGGTACATTATAATTTAAATGGTCTTCATGACAATTTGATTTAGTTTTGCAGGAAGCATTAAGATTTTAAAACAGAGTTGTGAATTATAATAATAAAATACAATCATTATCATGATCCTCTTTCAATTATCTTTGCTCTAACTCTATCTACTAATTCTAATTCTTGTTTCCTTACTTAGGTTGCCTTCTCATATTCTGAAGCAAAATCATTGCACATTCTAGTAGCACTATCAAAGATTTCACCATTTCTCACCTAGAAATAGTAAGTAAATTCTTACTTTCTTTCCTCTAGCACTATCAATAATAGCTGATTATTAATCTTAACAAATATCCATTGTAGTGATGTGATCTCTCAATTTATTTTCAGTTCTCTTTAAATTGTTATAATATTCAACCAAATGAACTCTTCTATCGTCATATTCTTAGATTGATTAATCTTCCTCTTCTGATATTTTCTATAGATTTGTATAAAGATTTTATTCTAAATTTTATAATAATTATTTAAGTCTTTCAAAAACTTCAATGTAACTAATAAAAATAAAAAATAATGAATACCCTCCATTTTAAGTTAACATTTATGCAAAAATGCTTGAAATTTGACTCATAATATTAGTAGTTTTTAATTTAACTGCATCTTAAATCATTCTTAATGATATTTCTGACATTTAAGCTAATGATGCACCACCAGATTAGAAACTATCTAAGATCTTTAAGCTTTCTTAGATAGATCTTAAAGCATCAATATGATCTTATTTTTTTGCATTATAATTTTAAGCACCAGCTTATCTAATGGAATCCAATATTTTAATATCTGTATCTGTAGCCTAATTTGAATGATTCTAATAATACTTTTTGACTATCTAAATTATTATCTAATTCTGCATCAGCTTTTTTTTTAGAAGTTGAACAATTTTCATATTATTCAGTGGCTCTATTTAATACTTATTCTGCATCTTTAAAATCTTTAGTTCTTAATTCTAATTCAGCACTACATTAATTTCTTTAATCTGTATATAATAGATCATGTCTAATTTATTCAGAATCAATTGATGCTCTTAAACTGTCTAAAAAGTTTACAGCTGTATCTACAGATCCACCTGATGTTAATTTGCTTTCCAATTCAGTTAAAATACTAACTAAAGTTGGTTTACTCTTTCCAATTATTGGATATCTAATTCTATATCTATACAATTCACCTATTAGTTAAATCTCCTCCTAATGCATTTCCAGCCAATAATAATACTAAGGTTAGTGCAACTACTTTCATAATTATAATTATAAAAAAAAAACGGATTACTCTTAATATTAATTTATATAATCAAAAAAGTTATTAATAAAATAAGATGTAGCCTTATTGCTATTACACATCCATCTTATTTGCTTACTTTATACGTTAATCATTAAATAACCACCATTTATGTTATCTTCTCCCATATGAATAATAATGTCCTTATTCTAAAGAACCAGAATGCACTATTACACCAATTAATTTGTATTCAGTATTACAAAAATTTGATTCTATTGAAAACTTTATTTGTTATGTTATTTTGCTTTATTTTGGAAAAAACTTAAAACGTTTCAAGTGTAAAATGAGATATCTAGGTAAACATGTAATCCTTGTTTTTTTGACTGCTGTTTTTTTTTTATGACAATTATCACATTGATAATCTTATATTATTTCATCTTTTAAAAATTCGTCTAATGATTAATTTACTGTAGCTACTTTAGTTAAAGCTAATGATAAAGTCAAAAACTCTTCTGAAATAATTGATTTATGTTTACAATTCTTACAAATCAATTCACTTACTATTTAACCTTTTAAATACTTCTTGACAATGTTTTCCATCTTAGGTTATTGTTATTTTTCATACTCTTTATTTACTTCTAAAATTTCATCTTCTATCATTGATATCAAATATAATAGAAACTCTTATGCATCATGTTAATATTTTGGATTAAATTTCTTACTTACTGTAGTCCTTAATGTATTTATTTTAATATAATCACTTTATGTTTCACGTATTTATAATAACATCTCCTTATAACTTCTACAATATAGCATTTTCTATCCATTATGTCTATTAATACTATTTAATAAAAAATGATTTAATTCTTGAATGCACATTAAACATTATAGAATTGAATGCATGTAACAATAAAATAATTCATTCTTTAATCCTTTTAGAGGAATTTCTGATGGATATTCCTATTATGAAACACTTGACATCATGCTTATATCAGCTGATTTTGCTCTATCCGTTGTTGATGATATATTAGAAACTGGTGAAGGAGGTATCCTATCTTCTAATATCTCAGGGCCACCACCATATTCTTCTAATAAAAATTTCCAAACTGTATCAGTCAGTACAAAATAATCTCGATTTCGAATTGGTTCTTTTATTTATAATAAACCGGTATTATCTATCGGACCTGGAAGTGTATTTGAATTTTCATATAAATAATTTGTGTATTTCCATGCCCATGTTCCATTCAATCTGTAGCGATTTGGTTCATAATTCTTTTTTATATTAACTAATCTTTTTATTAACTAACATTCTAATTCTCTTTTAGCATTCCCTTATGAACATCTGAATTATAATAACAAAACTAGAATTTAAGGACCTTCCATTGAAAATGATGGAGCTTTTTTAGGAGGAAACTATGGTACATGCTAATTGATTGAGCTGCTTTTGTTATACTATTTATTACATTACTTATCTTCCTCATTAAGATTTTCACTATTGTTATCAGTGTCTCGCTATTGTTGCATTTTTATAATTAAATTTAATAACAAAATAATACAACAACCAATATCAAAAATATTATTTTATTTATTCTTTTTAACTCTTTAGATTACTCACATTCAAGCACTCAACTTTACAAATATTCTAAATGTTTATTTATTCAAACAAAAATTTATTGTTTAAATTTTTTACAATTTTTACAAATATCATTCATCAACAAATTCATGTAATCACAGCAACCCAATATTTTACTCTTTTAACATCAAAGAATAATTTGGTTATTTTTTTAATATTATTAAGTTATTTAGAAGTTTTAATTGAGGAAATTTTAAATTCGAATATTCATTTTTTATTGAATACTTAACCCTTTTAATAAGAATAATAAAATTTATTTTATTTTACTAAAAAATTGAAAAAAATATTTTTTATAACATTCTCATCTAAATAATTATAGTTTACATTTTTATTTATGATGTATCCATTTATTATCAAATTTCTTCAATTTATACCTTCAAATTCTTTTTTCTAGTTTAACATCTCAAATTAATCAAAACTGAAGAAGGAAATAATATTTAAAATAAAAATTTTTATGTCTGATTTAGCAGAAGTTCAGAAAAATCACTTTTTTGTTGGAAAAATAAATACCTCTAATATTGTTATTACGATTTTAGAGTTTTTCTTCAACAAATTGAAAATAAGTTTGGAAAAATAAATATAATTATTTCTTATGAAATTCAAAAGATTTATTAATAACTTAAAGCTGTTTTGTACTTTGAATAATTCAAGAAAGTGGGATTAAGGTCAAAAAATGAATGAGTTTAACTCTAAAATCTCTATATATATTAAAATTTTGGCTGATTAATTTACTCAAAAACAAAAATTGAAAAAATAGAAAAAAATTAAAAAAAATTCTTGAAAATGAAAACTTTATGAGTATTATCATTTCTAAATTAAACCTAATTAAAAGAAGGTATAATTTTGATAAAATTTAGTTAAAACGCTTGGATGTTTGATGAGATTGAAAAAATAAAATATATATGATTCAAATAGATTTTATTTGATGTAATAAGACTCGCTATCGTGTTTTTATCTAATTTTTGAGTGAGAAAATTTTGTCTTTCAGGCTTTCTGTTTTTTTTTTAATGAAAAAATTTTTTAAAATAAAAAGGAAGAATGAATTACATCTTTTTAAATGGGATTTTAGAAATATTTTTGATTTTATTGAATAGCATTTTGGAATTTAAGGATTGGGAATAACTCAGCTTTTTCGTAAAACATATCATTATATAAAAATTATTGAATTAGTATTGAAAATTTTTTAAATATAATACTGTTAATTATTTAAATAATTTAATAAAGAAAGAGAGACATAAAGTTGAAAGAGCTAGAATCACAAAATAAATGAAGATAAAATAGTTTGTCATCTAAATTATTACAATTTATCATAATCACTTTTTGAATTTTATGGTTGGTTTGACATTTTAGATATTTGAAGTCTTATTAAAAATGATAAATTCTTGAATATCTTAATGGTATTGTTGTAAAATACTCAATTTAGATTGATGTTCTTTGTAAGAAATTGAAAATAACTTGTGTTTAAGTAATTATGAAGGTTATGGTCGTTTAATTGGATCCTATACTAGTAACAATTGTATGAAATCACTTAAATTAGAATCAAAGGTATTAAGTCTTTTTAAATTAAGTTCATTCTTAGGATGATTAGATACCATTTCTTTTTAGGTTTTACCAAATGGATTATATCCAAGCAACCTAATGTTATGTAAGATAAGTACAAATGAAATAACAAGATTCCAACTTGATAAACATTTGCTTTGGTTGTTAATTTTTAATTTATCTTAAAATATTCAGGAGGAGAATATCCAATGTTTGCATATCTAAATTTATAATTATATAAATTTACAGTCGTCTATCTTCATTATTCAATTAATAATAGGCCTAGTAATAAGAAGCTAAAACAATATCTTAAGAATTTGGATTTATGTAAAGATTTTTTAAATCAAGACCTGGATGAATGATTCCCTTTTCATCTAAGGCTATTAATACTATTGAATTAATAGTGTAATTATTTACATAATACTAATTAATATGCCGTATGAGACATAAAACAAGGGTTATCCAATTGAGTGTTATAATATAGAGTTAATTTTATTAAATCTTTTTTTGAATAAATGTAAGAATATTAAACTCCATCGTGGTACAGAGCATCTACATGTATGAATTATGGTATAGATGTGATATGTAAGTCTTTTATTATTTAAATTTCTTCAGGAACAAATTTCTCTCTATCATATGTAACCTCAGAATAGAAAGACATATCTAAATTGTCGTTCATTTGAGGGAGTATGATATGTTCATAATAAAACTTTTATCTACTCTAGTCATATATTGATTTTAACTAGTAAAATATTAATTCCTGACTTACTTGATAATCATGTTTTTCCTTTATTATTTCAAGAGTTTTTTGGGATATTCCCTTCTTAAAAATATACTTTCCAGCACAGAATTTATATATACATAATAAATCTTCAGCATTCCCATATATAAAATATTTGGTTTCCTCATACTCAATGATGAAACTTAGATTTTTTTCAAGTCCAGCATTTAATTCCTCAAAAAAACAATTCCAGTCCATTAAAATGGAATTGTTCCAAAACAGAAATACTTAAATCATTCTACTATCAGGATCCTACATTTAATTAAATCATATACCACTATCTTCAAGCCTACAGAACTTTCTTGAATGCTAATAAACTTCGAATTTAATTTTGATTTCATTGATTAGTTCATTTTTAAACAAGGTTAAGACATTCACTTTATTTATATTTTTAATTATAAGATACATACGGCTTATAATGCCTCACTTATTTATTTTCTAGATTCTATTTTTTAGATTCTATATTTATTTATTATTGACAACTATCATCATCTCATTTATATATATTCAATATTGACAAAATGCATAATAGTGATATATATGTATTAGTATAAAAGTATATTTCATTAATATATTAGAATCTATTAATTAATTTGTAATTAATTATTATTTTTGATTCTGTAATAATTTTTAAATTTTATGATATATATATTTTACTTCCTTTAAAATCTTCAAATAAATCCTAAAAGAGTATCATCAAAGTTCAAGGATTTTAACCAAATAAAATTTTCTATACTCCAAAAGACAATGTTATCTTAAAATAAGATAAATTTTTTAACTATTTTCCTTACCTATTCTTAATAGGACTACTCTTATATCAGAACATGGTAAAGATTATTATATTCTTATTGTTTAATGTGATAGACTTCTACTATTTAATATATATAGTGCTATTTCGTTGTTTTTATTATTGATAAATTTATCACAAAAAAAGAAAAATCCTCATTTGAGTCCCAACTAGCATTGAAATTATTATTATTTCAACATCATGCCTTTCTTTTAGGATTCTGCTATTCAAATGTGTTAATGTTAATTATTTTCCTCTTCTTGAAGCCCCTAAATGCCTTAATCAACTTTTGTATTAAAAATAATTAATTATTTTAACAAGGTTAGAGGTGAGCCAATCAGAATATTAAAGAAGTAGCAGATGCTTTAAGTTCGGCAGGTAATGTATTACATAATCTGGAATTCTAAAAATTAGAAATTATGTACTGTTTATAATTCAAGATCAAATATTTTGTTTGTTTCTTCGAATTTATCGGTCTAATTTCATGTTTGTAACACTCATTAATGTTTCTGAATAGATTTTATTTATTGAAATACTTCTATGTCAAGAATATCAATTTAAAATATCTAATTGACAAAGAATTATTCAATTCTAGTTCTGAATTTTGTCTTATTCAACTTTTAAAAAGCAAGGACAATTATTATTAAGTCTAAGTTCTAAGTTTAGTAAATGCGATTAGATTTTAAAAATCTATCATCTTAATAATTAAAATGATAATTTACATTATAATGCTAATTAATACTCAAACATCATAGCAGCAAAAGATGACTAAATTTTTTGTGAGTTTCTTGATTATTTTGGATTACTATTGTTCTCTCTAATAAAATAAATTAAACAGAGAATGTAAAGGCTATAAATATCTTTAAATTATAAGACTATACAAAAAAATTATTGAAGCTTATTTGAAAACTTTAGCTCAGATTACTGACATTTTAAATGTTTACATTAAGATTTTCATAAAAATAAGTAGAAAAAATATATATTAAATTAATATAATTGTAATGAAATCATCATCAATCATAACTTAATTCTTTTTAACATTTATTGTATTTCAATTTCAATTTCAGATTATTGACCTTACTCATCCTCTTCATCACTTGACTCATTTTGCTGACTAGAAATTAAACTTATCATTTCACCATTTATTCCTTACAAAAAAGCTATCAATAATTTTATTATTAGTTACTTTTTGAGTGTTTTGTTCTTAAATATTATGTTCTTATTGAGCACCATAATGCACAAGTTTTTTTAGAGTTTCATCAAATTCTGATACTCTAAAAGTTAAAATTGGACTATATCCTTTAGTTTGTTGGGCAAAACTATTTATTATGCAATTAAAACTTATTGACTTTATAGAAACAGATTTTAAATTGTCTTGAATCTTGTAATTCCAAATAAATGTCACTCATTAAATTAATCTTCAATCCAAAGCAAACAGAATAAAGAATAGATGTTTTTTCTAATTCCTTTGCAAAAATCATTATTTGAGATAGTGCAGAAATCGATTTCATAATATATTTACAAAAATTAATAAAAATATATAAATCACAATATTTATTTACATAAATTTATTTCTCCATCATCCTTGTCTTATTCCTTTATTAGATTATCTAAATGAGTTTTAATTATTTTTTTGAATTCTTAATCATCTTATACTTTTAGTAATATTATTGAGCATGATAAGAATTATATTCTTAAATCAGATGTTTTAATAGAGGTATCAAAAATGAATTTATTTGAATAATTGAGGAATTTCAAATCTATCAATATTTTTTTGACTATGCCTTAATACTTTTAATTTTCAGGCAATTCATTAGATTTCAATAATTCATCATTAATATCAGTTGTTAAATTATAATTCTTTTTATCTTATTATTTTATTGATTATCCAGCAGTGTTTGAAAATTTTGATAAATCATGATATGTTTTATGTAATTGATCATCGTAATATAAAAGATCCCTGAATAAATTAGCAATTTTTTCAATACATCTATTTGAATCTAAATGATTTAACAAAATTTATAATCCATTCATATCAATGAACCTTCTTTTATTTTTTAAACATTCTCCTCTTATTATACTTGATAAAGCACTAATAAGTTGTTCTTTTACTTTTAGATTATTAATTTTTTCTATTTGGAGTAAAAGTTAAAGATAATTATTTTCACCACAATACTCTTAAACAAAAGCATTGTTTTAATTACAATTCTGAATAATCTTTAAAGTTGATAATTTAATAGAATCAAATTTAGTTGTTTGAAAATAGTTGAACATAAGCCTTAGTCCACCTAATTTACAAAAATCATTTGCTCTATCTAAAGCATCTAAAAGTTCCATCAATTATTCAAACCATTCTAATCTTTATTGTTCTTCATCTTCTAATTCTGGTTTAGCTATTTTATCTAATAAATCTTTTATCATTTAAAATTCATCAACAGAATAACTTTACAATGCTTCATATAACCATTTCTTAGTTTCTTCATCCATAGGTTTAATTGAAGTATCAAATTTTTCTCCTTTCTTTTAATCAATTGACCAAGCAAGTAATCCAGTCCAATCCATTATTTAATAATTGTATTAAATTAATTAATTAATTGTATGATTTGAAAGAAATTATTATGAGTTTCTAGAAGATTCTTTTTAATTGAACTTTTAGAGATTATTCTAGAATGATGGTATAACAATAGATTATTATTATATTTGAAAAATATTTGATTTAAAAATAATAATAGACCTAATAAATTTGATAAAATATAGTCAAACATTATCGTCACCATATTTTTTAATTAATTCTTTTAAAAATGGATTATTTAGCTAATTATTATAAAATATTACATCATTTTTTGATTCTTTTTCAAATTTTGTATTATTCGACTCCGAGATACCTAATTCAATAAATTATTCTTTTTTTTTAATAGGAGATGGACTATTCTATCTAACTGGTTTTGTTGAAGTTGGTAATGCTGCAGCCAAAGAAGTTTTATATGAAGCAGGTATTTTAGCAACATCTTATTTAGAATGTGCAACAGCCTTATCCATTTATTTTCTTCTAATTTCTTTTTCTAATCTTTCTTATCTCTCTTTATTAGTTTCATATTGACCTAATTCTGGACTATTAGATTTTTATCTTTCTTTTTTTTTATTTTGTTTTTCTTTTTCTTTTTCTTTTGCTTTATCCTTTTTTTTATCTTTTTTCTTTTTGTGTTCTTTTTATGATTTATGCTTATTTTTCTTTTTTTTATGACTTTTACGTCTACTTTTGCTTCTACTAGTACTACTACTTTGATTACTACTAGAGTTTGATCTTCTTTTTTTTTTAGATTTAGATTTAGATTTAGATTTGGAAGGTGATTTTAATGAAATGACTTCCTAAGGTAATTAGATTTATCCTTCTTACATTCCTTCTGTAATCATTTAAGCAATATATAATCTTTATTCGTCATTTTTAGGAATGAATTCAATTTCTCCTAAACTAATTCTTTCTTTATCTTCTTCAAATTATATGATAAGATAGGTTCCATCAACAGATTCTATTTTTCCTACATGCCATTCATCATCTTTTTGTGAGATTGCTCTTACAGATACACCTGTTTATAGGAGTGGCATAATTCTTTGATTAATATTTCTTCTTTATCTTTTTTCTTAAGATAACAATATTTTAGCTTATATTATTGTATCAATTTATTAAGGAATACGTGGTAATCGAGTATTATAATAATTTAAATCCGTAAGTAATCTTTCACAATAATCACCAATAGTAATTGTTTCATCTTTAGCAGGTTTAAATTCTAAAAATGTATTAATTAGTGTTGATTACCTTATTCATCTAAAATAAACCTTCTCATCCATCCCCATAAGAAATTTGGATCTAAAGCATATCTCAAATACAATAATCCTAAACATCGTACATATGGATTCAATTTCCAATCACATAAAAATTGTAATTATTTGACTAAATAAATATTCAATATAATCTTACCATTTATATTCATACTCATCAATTTATGTAAAATACAAAAGAATGATGAGGGTACTCCTGGTCCAGCCCAAGTACCTACAGATGTGACAATCTTATCTGTCTCTGCTATAATATCATTAATATCTCGTATCTGTAATAATTCTTTATAATATGGACATGTAAGAATGTTTTATCGAACTAATGAATTCATATTGCTGATTGCATTTTCTCCTCGACTTTTATTTTTAGATTTTAATAAATACATTGGAATTATATTGTCTCCTCTATCCCCAACATCATAATGGTATTTATCCATATTGATTGATTTTTCTTAATATGTTGGTACTTCTTCAACCACAATTTTCTTGCATTATCTAATTATTCAAATTTGATACTACCTACAACTTTTTGAATAATTGAATTAATGTATTGGACATTTTATTGTTGGATTTGATTTCTCTAGCAGATTAGTTTGAAATTTTATTTCAGATTCTATTTTCTTATAACTTTCATATGCAGTCAACTTTTGATTTTTATCATTTTTACTCATATTAATTTTAATCAATCATTCAAATATGCTTCACTCAATTTTGGATTGATATAAACAGGCTAACCTTACTTCTTCTTCCAAATATTACAGAGATTTCTCATCAACATACAAACTGTCATTGGACCCACTCCACCTGGAACTGGAGTAATGATTGATGCTTAATTTTTAACATTATCAAAATCTACATCTCCTACTATCTTTCCTCTCTTTTCACCTTAGGATATACCAACATCAATCACAATAGCTCCTTATTTCACATTTCTTACAAGTTTTGGTTATCCAGCAGCACTAATCACAATATCTGCATTCATTATCTATTCATCTAAATCTTATGTTTCTCTATGGCATACAGTTACAGTAGCATTCCTTTTTTATAAAAGCAATGATAAAGGCAATCCAACCAAAAAACTTCGACCTATCATTGTTACTCTTTTTCCAATCACATTTACATCATAATAATCTAAAATCTATAATACTGCTGCTGGAGTACATGGTAGCATCTCACATAATTCACCGTAAACTAAAATTCTTTATAAATTATGCATATGCAAACAATCCACATCTTTTTCATAAGGAATTGAATGTATGATGTCCAACTTATTCAGATGTAATGGTAATGGCAACTATCAAAATTTTAATTATTTAAAATACTTACACTAATATGCCATCATGATGCATTTATTAGATGTGTTTAATCAATTAATCTTATTCAACATTCTCTTCAAAATGAAATACTTCTGCATCAACATTTATTTCCTAACATGCTTTTAATTTTCGATTCACATAAGATTTTGATGCAGGTGAATCTCCAACTAAACAGATTCCTAATTTTGGCTTTATTTTTGATGTTATACGAAGTGTTTACAAAATTGAATTGGCCAATTGATTACCATTAAAAATCATTTTTTATTTTTTTATTACCTAATGGCTAAGAACAGAAAGGTTTCTTTTTTTTAAAAGTATTTTTGTTGTGGAACTTCAAATGACATCTAAGAACCTAAAACAACACTCAACACATATATTATAACAACTACAATAATTGAATATTTGAAATCGAATAAAAAGGATCCCAAATTATATTCAATGTAATTGTTGGATGGTTTTTATCAAGATAAGGCTAAAAAGATTAAGACATTGCATCCTCCTAAGGATTTGATGTTTAGTGAGACTCTAACAAAAATAACACTATTTTCATGTCCAATATGTTTTAGATATTTTAATTGTATATAATGGTATATCAACAATTTTAGTCATTTTGTCATCATCTTGTTGTGCAAATTACATATGCCATATTTGTGCCTTTGAGTTTTAAAGGCCAAATTGTCACTTTTGTTAAAATGAATCTTGTACTTACTAAGATGCTGATTTGAATACATAAAAAATATACACAGATTCATAGGGAATGTAGTTATATGCTTTATAATTACAAAAAAATTGATTGTGTCTAATTTTATGTATTAATTAATTAAATTTTAAATTGAATAATGTTATTCGAATACCCTCAACAACCTACCTTTATTTAAAAATATGAACTCATTAAGCAATTTTTCATATAGCTTCAATAGGTGAAATAATGTGAATCAGCAGCCATACCATCTTAAAAAATAGATAGATAATAGGAAATGGATAAATAAAATTCAAAAGCATAAATTACTGAGGAATCTATTAAATACGATGATTCTACTACTTCGAGACAGATACCTAAATAAAGAAGAGCTGTTTATATAACAAAGAAATAAGAGTAAAGAAAGTCTAAAGAGATTGGTACACTTCCAATAAGGCCTTCTGACATTATGATGATTGAATAGTAGAAAGAGAAAATTGATTAATTTTGTTAAGATAATAAGATTTTATATGAAAATAATAAGGAATGTATGCATTTAATAAAGAAGATGGCAAAAATGATTAAGAAACTGAAATAATAAACATGTCAAGATCACTTAAATAGTATTGAACATTTATAATTGAAATTAAGAATTAAGGATGCTGAAATTGCAAAGAAAAATGAATGTATATAATAGATAAGAGAAAAATATAATTAAATGATTAAGATTATAGAGGAACATACAATATAGGAGGAACAATAATGGTAAGAAATATAGGCATAATAAATTGAATTGGAAACATAAAATTAATTTTTGCGAAAATTACTATCAGTAAATTTTAGTGATGAATAAATAAAATAATTAGAATCTTAATAAAATGAGGTGGAATTATAATTTTTTGATAATTTTTGTATTTCAAGAAAGGATTTAGATAAGTAAGCGATTTAGGAATATGAGAAGATGCTATAGAATAGGAAATCATAAATAGAGTAGCAATATGTTGATTGGAATATGGCATAAATAAACTCACATTATTAGAATTAATAACCGATGCATTAACCATTATAGGATTTATATGCAGAGGAGAAAGAAATGATGATGAAGAAGCAATCAAATTAGTAAATAAGTAAAGAAGATAAATAGAGAATAATGGAAGATTTATTAAAACCAATAGGATCATAAAAGTAATAGTAGATAAATGTTTAAGAAGTGAAATAAAAGTAATTAGACATTCTTTCTGGTTCTTCATCATCATTATCGAATAGTTCAATATAAAAAAAGGCATAATAAGATTAATTATTATAATAATAGCCAAAGAAATTAGCAATAGATATAGATACAAAGGAGAGTATTCCTAGTGGGGTAGTAAAAGAGAGTTAAGGAGAGAATAAGTTATCTTCTAAAGAGAAGTTGTTGAGTTCTTTAAATTAAGGTTGGGAGAAATTGATACAGAAAACATCTCATTAACAAAGATATTAGGATAGTGAAGAAGATAGTGATTAAGTAATAACATACAATCCAATAAATCACATGTAAAATATAGATTAAATAAATCAATAAATAGGTTTACAAATCCTGAGACAATTATGTATGAAGGAGGAGATGATTATATGGAAGATGATGATGAAGATGATGTTGTTTATTAAAACATCTTTAATGAACAGAGTAAATAATTATAGAAACCTACTCTTACTAAAACTTAAAAGAATTAAGAACTATAATATTAGTGATGTTTTTATGATTGACTAATTTTGTTTTTAAAAAGAATATCATCTTCCAGACCATGAGGCAACTTATTTCTTGAACATGATGATTACTTCATCCAAGATGGCATTCTCTTCTTGTCTCTTGGCTTTGGCTTCAGCATAATCAGCTCTCTTGGCTTCTAAATCAGCTTAAGCTTAATCTAAAGCATCTTATGATTCTTATAAGATAATCTTTGATTTGGCTTATTGAGCAAATGAAGCTTAGATTTACTAAACATATTAAGATTATAAATATTACAGTGGCAGTTCTATCAGCAAATACTTATTTTCTTTCATATTCAACTTCTAATGAAGCAATTTCAGCTTCAGATAATGATACCCAACCTGCTAATTCCCATGAAGCATTAATTTCATTTTATTTCAAATTTTCTAATGAGGCTTCTAATTCAGTTTCTAAACCTTCCAAAACACCCAAAACTCTTTCAGCTAATGTTTATCCATGTCCAGATGATTCTGATGCCTAATTTATTATATTATATATATAGATACTTATTCTTCTTAAGCGAGTGCCAAGAATGATTTGATTTAATGTTCTTAGAATAAGTTGCTATATTGTTTCAATTTCTCAGCTACTGATTAAGCTTAGACTTATGTGAATTCAAAAGAATCTCCATTCACGATGTATCCAGCAACATCTTATTTAAGAAGTCTAATCACTTCCAAAGCTTCTTAATTGTGTTTTATGGATTTAACAAACAATTAGTTAGAGAAGCATTGGTTGTCTGATAAGGTTTCTATTTTAGCAGCTATTGTGTCTCTTCTAGCTTCATTCCATGCCAAATAGTTTTTGGTTTATTAAAGTACGTTTTCATACTCAACTCTGTTTTCTACAGCTTATTGGAACAATTTCTGGTTCAAAGCTTTTATTTTACTGAATTATTCTATAGTTTAAGCACCAACCCATTCATCTGTTTCGTTTTTTTGGTCTGCTGCAAATTGAGCATCGATGTTTGATTACTTTAAATCATTAAGCAATCCAAAGACTGTATCAATGGCATCACTGGCCTTTGTTCCTGTCTAAAGCAAAGCCAAGATTTAATCTTTTGTGCTTGTGGCATTTGAGACCACAGCCAATGCAAGAATGATAGCAATGATTCCTTTCATTTATTTATTAACTAAAAAACGACACATCTCAAAAACGATTTAATTTCATATTATTTTATATCTCTCATCTCTAAATTTATTAGCTTAAACTTTCATATCCCTTTCATAAACAACTGGATCTTGATAAGTGCTATTTGCAGGATCATTGAAAGTGGGACTAATATATATATTATTCTATTCAATACTGATGAATCACTTAATTGATTCCTGAAAAGACATCTATTAAACTAGTACTAGAGATCCAAGTTTCTTTGTTTGTTAAGTATAAATAGATTTCTGTATTTATTATATTTATA